GACAGAGCCGGGCTAGCCCCCTGTTTACAGTCTTTCTGCTAATCTAAGTTGACCGTACAGACATGAGAGGGTATCAATCTTCTCATCTAGCTTAATCTCAGAAATAAATAGAATAAACATATCTCCCAAAATGTTTAACTGTTAACCATAAATAATAAAACAGTACATTTGTGTTGTAATATTTATATTATGTGCCTTCTGATTCTCTGGCTCCAGTTTCGGGACAGGATCCAGGACATCCTCCCCAACCTGCCCGCACAGCACGACCACTACCTCCTCCGATGGCTCCGAGGTGAGACCTACATCCCTCCACTGAAACCTGGACAGGGAGCATTTAGCACTTAGCAGTTTCTCTGTGTGGGTACAATGCTGGCAAAACAACTATCACACAGCCATTCAAGTACAAGGTGCCTTCTTCAATGCAAATAAGAACAAAATCAAAACAACCACTGCCAAACATACACAGATTAGATAGTTAGTAAAGATAAAGAACCTTGTGTCACCCTGTGTTTGAGGAAAGACTTTAGTGCTCTTATATGACCTCCTGTTATCTTGTTCCAGCTTTTGTTTCTAATTTATTGATTTGTCCATCTTCAATGTAAGAAACACCAAATACTGACAGTTATTTTAACTCAACATTGTTTACTTTTGGGGGCAACAAATACATTTAAAATAGGGTTTCCAATGACATATAATTCATCAGTGGTGGAAAGTAACTGAGTACATTTACTCAAGGATTGTACTTAAGTGCTAGTTTTAGGTATGTGTACTTCTACTACTATTTTTACTTTTGTTTTTCCGTTGTCTTCTATTTTCTACTTCTACTCCACTATATTTATCTGACAGTTTTTAGTTACTACTACCATAAACAGTTTACAAATATACAATAAATACATCTTAGTTTGTTAACAATTAAACCATAGATTGTGGATTTAATCTGGTGGCCCTTTGGAGGGGCCTGACCTCTAGGTTGGGAACCACTTAACTAAATTATCTAACTGTATATAAAGGAGTTAAAACTAGCTAACTTTATATAAAGTAGTAAATCTAGCTAACTTTATCTAAAGTAGTTAAAACTAGCTAAATTTATAAAAAATAGTTAAAACTATATAACTTTCAATCAGAATACTTTATATTAAGTAGTAAAACTAGCTAACTGTATATGAAGGAGTTAAAACTAGCTAACTTTGTATAAAGTAGTTAAAATGAGCTAATTTTATATAAAGTAGTAAAACTAGCCAACCTTTTATAAAGTAGTTAAAACTAGCTAACTGTATATAACGAGATGTTTTATAGAGGAGACACATCACTCAATCACATTCTCAATATAACTCTATGGGGAAAGCCTGTAACGGCAAAGATGGTGGTTATCCCGCACCTATCGCTTGAAAGCCAATTGTCTGCTTAAAACATATTTCAGCCAGTTGTGTGGTTCCACTGATGCAAGGGTCGCTTACTTCTACTGTACATGCGTAGTAGAAGTATGACTGCCGGGAAAAACGCTTTTTAAATCTTTTTTCTTATTCAAACTTTTTCAGCGATTTGTATTGGATGTTACTGGTGATTCTATTCATGTAGTTTTTATGTCCCAGTGACCAGTCAAACTGCAGTCCTGGCTCTCTCCCCATTCATTCAGATAGGAGCCTGGTCTTGTTAGTCCGAAATAGCTGTCCGGAGGCGTTGCCAAGATGGCTGCCGAGTGGCACGACTTGCCTATAAAGACTTTGATATAACATAAGTAAACCTAGCTAACTGTCTATAGTATAAAGGACTTAAAACTAGCTAACTGTACATAAAGGACTTAAAACTAGCTAACTGAATATAAAGTATCTAAAATTAGCTAACTTTATATAACGTAGTTAAAACTAGCTAACTTTATATAACGTAGTTAAAACTAGCTAACTGTATATAAAGGACTTAAAACTAGCTAACTGTATATAAAGGACTTAAAAACTAGCTAACTGAATATAAAGTATCTGAAATTAGCTAACTTTATATAACGTAGTTAAAACTAGCTAACTTTATATAACGTAGTTAAAACTAGCTAACTTTATATAACGTAGTTAAAACTAGCTAACTTTATATAACGTAGTTCAAACCAGCTAAGTGTTTATAAAGGAGTTAAAACTAGCTAATTGTCTCTAAAGGAGTTAAAACTAGCTAACTGTATATAAAGTAGAAAACTAGCTAACTGCATACAAAGTATGTAAAATTAGCTAACTTTATATAACGTAGTTAAAACCAGTTAAGTGTATATAAAGTAGAAAACTAGCTAACTTTATATAAAGTATGTAAAACTAGCTAATTGTCTCTAAAGGAGTTAAAACTAGCTAACTTTATATAAAGTATGTAAAACTAGCTAATTGTCTCTAAAGGAGTTAAAACTAGCTAACTGTCTTTAAAAGGAGTTAAAACTAGCTAACTGTCTATAGTATAAAGGAGTTAAAACTAGCTAACTGAATATAAAATATCTAAAACTAGCTAACTTTATATAACGTAGTTAAAACTAGCTAACTTTATATAACGTAGTTCAAACCAGCTAAGTGTATATAAAGGACTTAAAACTAGCTAACTGAATATAAAATATCTAAAATTAGCTAACTTTATATAAAGGAGTTAAAACTAGCTAATTGTCTCTAAAGGAGTTAAAACTAGCTAACTGTATATAAAGTAGAAAACTAGCTAACTGCATATAACTTAGTTAAAACTAGCTAACTGTATATAAAGTAGAAAACTAGCTAACTGCATATAAAGTATGTAAAACTAGCTAACTGCATATAACTTAGTTAAAACTAGCTAACTGTATATAAAGTAGAAAACTAGCTAACTGTATATAAAGTAGAAAACTAGCTAACTGTATATAGTATGTAAAACTAGCTAACTATATATAACTTTGTTAAAACTAGCTAACTGTCTATAAAGTAGTTAAAACTAGCTAACTGTCTATAAAGGAGTTAAAACTAGCTAACTGTCTATAAACGTTTTGAGAAAACTATTTCTCAAAATGCCAAACTATTCATAACTTTGCTTAATAGCAGCCACTGTGTTTCCATAGTGTAACAGTAACAAGAGTCATAAAATTAGCAGTCTGAGTATTATCAGTTACACAGGAATATATGTCTCTAACATTAGCTTCTGCTCATACCAGACAAAGTCATGCTGCAGCAGTAAAACTAAAACCCCCGAGACCTCAGCGAGCGTGTTTTTTATTTCTTATGAATTATAAATTCAACTTTTCAATTGTTCAGAAGAAGAATGTTTTATTTCTTCTTTCAAAAGAGACATTATTGATGAAGCTTTTTTTGGTTAATCAGTAATTCTTTCCCCTATAATATTCCTCCCGCTGACGCTGTGGCCATGAAAGCATATGTAGTATTTATTCAGGCAGGTCAACTCAGTGGTCTTATCCTACAGTAAATGTTTGTTTACCCTGTACAAAGTTACCTTAGTTAAGATGCAGAGGTTTAAATGGATTTACTTTCCCCCATCATTTAAAGTGAAAGTTTGTGGGACAGGACATGGACGACACTGTCTCTTGACTCTTCTGTTTAGAGATCCATAGTTCAGGGAGAGCTGAGATCGATGGGGGACTGTAGTTCAATATTTGCATTGGTTGTTAACCTCAGTCTCCTTGCTTGACTAAAAACAGGCAAACTGTATCAAACTGTTTCAGGTTTTCAATTGTACTATTGTCAGAACTGGTGCAGCATTTACAGATCAGTGATGATCAGCGTAGAAAAAAACAGTGCTTTGTATTTTGTTTCATGTATTGTGCAAATGCATTAATCTTTTGTGGACACCAACACTAAACAAGATGTTATTTAACATTATATGAAAGAGGATATATTTACACAACTTCATCCATATAACTCACAGTTTAGGTTTAGTCTTTTTCTTTTTACAGTAAGTTTGGTCAAGTTTGTATTTATATTTCAAGCAGAAATAGAGAGCCTGAGTCCCTGCCTCTAAAGTGGACTACCCTTATTTTGGTAAAAATATGTATTTGTACTACCTACAGTAGTCAATGGCAAGAGACAACTAATGTTTTGATTCTGTTTGAATTGAGCCCTGAATTACACATACAGTATGTTTTTCAATTTAAAATATACATTTGAAAGTCAAGAAAGTCGTAATTTGTCGTAAAAATGTTTAAGTATGAGACTGAAAATACGTAATTACAAAGACCACAAACCCAAAAGTCGCTTATGTGACGTTATGACTGTTTCTCTCAATCACTGAAGCTAACAAAGCTAACGCCAGTTGCAACGTAACACAATCCTTCCTTTGTACCAGAATCTAAAAGTAATCAGCCAGACTTGTAATGATTTTCATCTCTTTTAATAATTTCCCCCTCGTTCTGGAAGCGAGAGGTGTCAGCCATGTTGTTGTTTATTGCGTGAGACGTGAGATGTAGTTCATTGGGCAGTTTCATACTAAACTACAGTCCCCTCCAAAAGTATTGGAACGGGAAGGCAAATCCCCTTGTTTTTGTTGTTCACTGAAGACATTTGGGTTTTAGATCAAAAGATGAGTCTGAGACAAGAGTTCAGAATTTCAGCTTTTATTTCCTGGTATTCACATCTAGATGTGTGATTGACAGATGTTTCTTGTCGCCCAGGTGTTGCCTTTTAGGTTGATTGTCCAAACATTAAATAGCTCTGCATGACTAATCTAACTTTTCCTCCTTGGTTCAAACCTATAAAGACTGCATTTCCTGTTAAAGAGGATAAACCAACATGAAGAGCAGAGAGCTGTCTGTGGGAGAAAAGCAAGCCACTGTCAAGCTGAGAAAAGAAGGAAAATCTACCAGAGCCATTGGACAAAAATTGGGCACAACAATTTGGAACGTCCTGAAAAAGAAAGAAGCTACTGGTGTACTGAGCAACAGACGTCCAACAGGTCGGCCAAGGAAAACAACAGTAGCTGATGAATATGGTGAGAGCTGTGAAGAAAACATCAGCAACGACCTCCACAGTGCAGGGTGAAGGTATCACAATCCACTGTTGGAAGAAGACTCAGAGAGCAGAAACATAGAGGCCACACCACAAGATGCAAACCACTCATCAGCAGGAAGAATCATCGGAAGAACAGATTGAAATTTGCAAAGAAGAACAGAGATGAGCCGCAAAAGTTCTGGAGCAGAATCTGATGGACTGATGAGACCGAGATTAATCTGTTGCAAAGTGATGGAAAGGCCAAAGTGATGGAGAAAGAAAGGAACTGCTTATGATGTCAGGGCTTGGGCTGCATGGCTGCTTCTGGAACAGGCTCATTAATATTTATTGATGATGGAACTGATGATGGTCGCAGCAGAATGAATTCAGAAGTGGACAGAAACATTTTGTCTGCCAATTTACAGAAAAATGCATTGAAACTAACGGGGAGGAAGTTTATCATGCAGCAGGACAATGAGCCAAAGCAAACTGCCAACAAAACAAAGGACTTCATCAGGGGGGAAGAAGTGGAAGGTTTCAGACTGGCCAAGTCAATCACATGACCTTAACCCAATAGAGCTGCATTTCACCTCCTTAAGGCCCCGTGTTTCAGTTCAATGCAATGGGAGCGCCGCGTTTTTCCAAGCTAGTAAAAACGGCAGCGGTGTGACGAAGCGCTGAGCGTCTTTTCCTCACTGGGCGCTGAGCGTTTTTTTTTCCTGGTCGAGAGTTGAAAAATGTTCAAATTTGGGAAAAACACTGCGCTCGTCACTGTCACTTTTTACCCAGTCGTCCAATCACAGTACAGGAGGAGCAAATACCACACCGTAGCAACGGTTACTATCCTGGAACCGTCCTCTCGGACTAAACGGTGGTACTCTGTCCTCGCTCTCCACCTGCTTCAGCCTTCTCTTCATACAGAGCAAGAGCCAAAGCAAGTACTCTGCTCTGTGTTGACATGTTCACATCCAGTAAAGTTAGATAGAACTACTTGCAACCACGGATTTTATGTATCATAGCAACCAAACCCTAACCCTAAGAGGAGACTGAAGGGAGAAACACCCAGAAACAAACAAAAAGTGAAAGAAGCTGCGGTAAAAAACCTGGAACAGCATCACAAATGAAGAACGCAACAGTTTGGTGATGTCGATGGGTCGCAGGCTTGAGGCAGTTATTGCAAGCAAGGATTACATCACCAAATATTAAATGTTATTTACTTTAAGATTATTTTTTCCTTTACTTTTGCTCACCTCAGAATGCTGTGGTCTAATAAAAACGGTGGTTTGTCCTGAGTTGTTTAACACATCTAGATGTGAATGCCAGGAAATAAAAGCTGACATTCTGAACTCTTGTCTCATCTTTTGATCTAAAACCCAAATGTCTTCAGTGAACAACAAAAACAAAGGGATTTGCCTTCCCGTTCCAAGATTTCAGGAGGGGACTGTAAATGGTAATGTTTTATGACAAACTTCAACTTTCTTTACTAAAATTATCTTTTAAGCTGAAAAACATCATGTGTGTAGTTTCTGCCGAAACAAGGTCCCGTGAGGTGGAAGCAGAAGCGAGGGACTTACAGGCTCTCTATTGGACATTTCAACCATTTACCAATTACTGTTATCTTTCTATTCTTCTCACTTTATCGACTTTACTGCTTATTGCAGATGGTAACTGTGTAAAAAGTAAAATACTTAACTTTGAATTGTAGTAGAGTAGAAGTTTAGCTCCACCACTGCAAGTGAAATCCATGAAATGCCCCTTTAAATCTTCCACGTTATTAATCAGGATTTTATCTTTCCTTTTGCAGCTCGAAGCTTCAATGTTCAGAAAACAGAAGCCATGGTCAGAAAGGTGAGTCACTTATTTATTTTCAGTAATCAGTCGTGTTATTTCCTTTGCGTGGCTGTAGGATGCATCTTTCTGACCTGCCTCGCTCTCTCTCTCTGCAGCACCTGGAGTTCAGGAGGAAGATGAACGTGGACAACATCATATGTGACTGGAAACCTCCAGAGGTGCACATGCTCCGTTTGTCTCACATTCAAAAATAAGCTTTATAACGAAAATAAGGATTGTAAACACAGAGTTTGTGGGTAAAGTTCAGTGGTGAAAAGTAATCAAGTTCATTAACTCAAATACTTTTACTTTACTTGAGTATATCATTTGAATCTACTTTCTACTTCTGCACTGCATTTCAAAGGGATATAGTTTACTTTAATTTAAGTTTCTAAAACTTAAACTACCAAATAGTAACACATAGAAAGTACGGAAGCCCCAAGCGGCAATCGATTCATATCTTTATATTACTCCGTTTTCCCGCGATAACGGGATCATTATCTCGTGATCTCGAGATAACTAAACAGTAGGTTGGCAAGAACGTTTCTTAATGTTAATTTCTACATGCTTTCAGTGTTGCTGAATAGCTCAGCAGGACTCGTAGTCTGAAGTTTGTGAGTTCAAACCTCATGGAAGACTAATTTAAAAAAATCTTTTTCACATTCATATCCAACAAAGTTGTTATGAAGATGACTGATTCACACTCACAATTAAGAACCTGCTGGACTGTGCGCATCCCGGCGATTGGTCCACATTCCCAGGCAGAGGAAATTCATCCGCTTCTCATTCAGGGGAATCCGTTTAACTACACATTTCCTGACAGCTAATCAGTGATTGGATTCCCCTGAATCTCTTCATAACAACTTTGCTGAAGAGAATGATTAAAAAACACAAAGAAGAATTTTGCGGAGAGCAGGGGTCAAACCTGCAACCCTTAGAAGCAAATCCTGCGCTCTACCAACTGAGCTAACTACTGACTCAGCAAATTACCACGAAATTATCAATAGAAACGCACCAGCTGACGCCTATATTCATGGTTCGTTATCTCGAGATCACGAAATAATTATCACGGGAAAACGGAGTAAAAAAAAATATTTGAATCGATGGCCGTTTAGGGCTTCAGTAAGCTACAACATTAATTGTAATATAGCATTTGGTTAGTTAGTTCACAGGGTCCAGCAGGAAATAATTCGTTGAGAACAAAATAACGAAACAACGGTTTAATGGAAACTAAAATCACCAACCGACTGAGGGCTGGATTCAAAAGTACAAAAATGGAAATCACAGGCTGATTGAATTTACATGTCTTTAATTATGGTAACTCATAATGTGACTCAGTACAGTCTGTCTGGAAGGACGAGGAGAGAGCAACTGTCTGTGAGCACTACCTGCTATAATAACAAAAACCACTTTTGTGTCTCTTCCTCTCCTCTTCATCAGGTCATTGATAAGTACGTGTCTGGAGGGATGTGTGGATACGACCGAGAGGGAAGTCCCATCTGGTACGATGTGATCGGCCCTCTGGATCCCAAAGGTCTGCTGCTGTCAGCGACCAAACAGGACTACATGAAGACAAAGATCCGACACTCGGAGATGCTGCAGCGGGAGTGTAGGAGGCAGTCGGAGAAGGTCAGGATGATCCTCCTCTGACTTGTTTGATCTCCTCTCTCCTCCTGTCTCATCTTCTTTTGTCTCCTCACCTTTTCCTTCCTCTCTACTCTCTCGTTTCCTCCTCTCCTCCCCTGTTGTTTCCTCTCCTCACTCCTTCTCTCTTCTCCTCTCCTCTCTGTTTCTAAATTCTCCTAAACCTTTTCCGTCTGCGTCTCAGTTGGGGAAGTACGTGGAAGCGGTCACTCTGATCTATGACTGCGAAGGACTCGGACTGAAACACATTTGGAAACCTGCTATTGAGGCCTACGGAGAGGTTTGTCAGCTTCTGATCACCGTTTTTCATCCGTCCACAAATAACTTCATTAAAAATTATTCAATGGGGCTTTATTGGCATTGGTATATAAACACATGCTCAAGTAAAATAATAATAATAAATGTAGACTTTGAGTTAAATCTCATTATCACTCTGTTCCTTTCGTGTAGATCCTCACCATGTTTGAGGAAAATTATCCAGAGGGGCTGAAAAGAGTGTTTCTTATCAAAGGTACTTCAGCAGATGTTTGTTTTATTCATCTGACTTGATTCCAGGTTTTGCTTATGATCTTTGGCTTTAATCTACAATTATTTCCTTATTTTCTGTCTTTGCTGCAGCTCCTAAAATGTTTCCTATGGCCTACAACTTAATAAAACCCTTTCTGTCGGAGGAGACGCGACGCAAGATATTAATTTTAGGAGGTAAGATAACATTTCTTTTTTATATAGCGCTAGTGAGGCTGTACTTTGGCACAGCGGTGCCTTGAAGCGGTGCTGAGGCTGATGCGGATGGCATTAGTTTTGCAGTTAATATGTCATAAAGCAAAGCGTTGGACACATTCAAGATTCAAGATTAACTTTATTGTCCCACAAAGTGGAAAATTTGGCTCTGGCTTTTACCTGCACTGCAGCCGTAAAACAAAAAACACTGCACATATCAAACATACGAAGGTATAAATCATACAGGTGGGTTAATGAATAAATAACATAAATCAGAAACATACAGCAAAGCTAAAAGCACGTATATACAACCACATTTTCACTAGAAGCTTTTCTTATCTGCTGCTATTTATGTGTTATTTACAGAGGTATAAATACATTTTTAAATCTATTTAACCTTCAACAGGGGTGATCTTGGTGCTATATATGGAAAGTTAAACGTGCTCTGTGGAGTTTTTCTTGTAAACAAAGAAAAGAAACAGCAATTTTTTTAATACAGTCACTGTGTAACTCACCAAAATGCATTGAGAGGAACCTTGAGCTATAACAAATGTGTTAAAAGCATTACCTGTTTAAAAAACTTGAAGATTTTGACCTATTTTTAGTAAATAGAGGGAGGTAATATCGTCGCCCTGATGTTCAAATAAAGGGTGTGCATATTGTCACCCACAATGTTTATTGCCTTATTCATCATTCATTCCCTGTAGATACATTCATGCTATGTAACTTAATCCCTAGTAGTAAAAATGTTGTTGTGGACATTAAAGGACGAGAGTTTCTTTAAAAAGTGCAGTCTTTGTTGTGTCTTAGTGCTTATGAGGTCAGACCACAGATCATATAGGCAAATAGACAAATGTACACAGAGCAAGTCGCCTCTCTCCTGATTGACCGGTCGCCGTGGTAGCAAGGTTGTACCGACCTAAAACCTACGCTGCTTTCTGGTCTATTTCCCCCTAAATATGACCATAATTTACTAAATGAACATCATGCTGTGTTGAAGAAGACTTGAAACTAGCGACTGAGACCATAAACTCATTATGAAAGTGTTTACTGAGGGAATAAATCAGCTGAGAAGTAGAAACATTTTACCATTATTTCTAATGGAATCCAGACTTTTCTTTGCAACCAGTGGACTCGCCCCCTGCTGGCCGTTCCGTCTGCATGGTTTCACTTTCAGACCCAGAGGTTGCCGCTTGATTGAGATCAGGGAAATCAGGGTTACTTTTTACTGGCCCCGGCTCGTTGGGCCACCGTTATTGTCGAGCCCTGTAAACAAAATGCAAAAAGTGTACAGGATAATAAACAAGGAAGGTGGTCTTTGTTAAGGGAAATCTAAAGGCTACAACAGACAACTTTAAACAGTTTGTGTTTGACCCATTCCTTTTTGATATAACACTGCCCCCGTGCACAAAGCCAGCTCCATAAGGAAATGCTCTTCCCAGTTTGGTGTGGAAGAACTTGACCGGTCCACACAGAGCCCTGACCTCAACCCTGTCAAACACCTTTGGGATGAACTAGAACAGATTGTGAGCCAGACCCTCTCGTCCAACATCAGTCTGACCTCACAAATGCTAATCTGGATGAAAAAATTTGTAGAAAGTCATCCCAGAAGAGCGGAAACTGTTATAGCTGCATGTTAATCCCTATGGATTTATAATAAGAAGCCATAATAGTAATGTGTAGGTTCATAAAGTTCATTTCAGTCTGGACCAACTGTCTGACGCTGACAGCCCTTAAGCCATGCTAACACCACTCCTGACTGTAATTTAAATTACATTCCTGTGTTTAAAGGTAACTGGCAAGAAGTTTTACGCAAACATATTGACCCAGAGCAGCTTCCTGTGGTTTACGGAGGAACCCTGACTGATCCTGATGGAGACCCTCGCTGCAGAACCATGGTGAGAGCAAAGACAACTGAATGGTCGGGCAGTCAGTGAGTGTTTTTTCTGATTGATCGTGACTGAAATGTATTATTGTTGTTGCAGATCAAGTATGGCGGCACGGTGCCCAGGTCGTACTACATTCGGGAGTCTGTGAAGGTTCAGTACGACAGCAGTGTGACAATCAGCCGCGGCTCGAGCTTCCAGCTGGAATACGATGTTCCTGCACCCCTCAGCCTTCTGAGGTACAAAACAGCGAGCAGCCTTTTTTTTCTGGAGTTAGCTTAAAATATAAACACGTTTGATTTAAAGCAATATAAATTCTTTATTCTAAAATTCTAATACATTTTGAAACGCTGGAGTTTTATTTTCCATCAGCTGTTCCATCATGATTAAAACAAAGAAAGGAAATATTTCACTTTATGTGTAATGAATGCAGAAAATTGACATACATTTTGGATTTTTATTTTCCTACTCAATTTCATTCGTCCATTTCAAAGCTGGATGAATGTATTGATAAAACCTTTGCTTTACTGGATGCGATAATTGTCTGTGCCATCCAGTTCAAATTTGGTGACATTCTGATCATTATTTCCAGAGATACATGAGATAAGGTAAGTGATAAGTAGTGTTCCTCTTCTATTAGTAATTGGTGTTGACAGTACTTTTTAAACAGCACTACACTCCCCATATCTTAAATAAGTTTGTTTGGATTTCTGCTTTTTGGAGTTTTATAACATTTTGTTAATGTTTTTTTCTCTGGGAGCCAAAACATAAGTAGCACACAAAGGGCCGGATTTACTAACACCCTGAATAACGAGTACTGAATTGCGTGTGCATTCTAAAATATTGCACATGTAATTGTTGTACCTTTTATGGGTGATTAACTAAGTAATATTGTGTAGATGACAGCAGTAGGTGTCAGTATTTAAATGAGTGTTTTGCGTGTTTTAATGGTTTCCGCCATGGAGAGTCGGGAGGGAAAGCAGCCACTGCGTAAAAACCTCTGTTTGTTTCACTCAGTGGAAATCGTCAAATCACCAAAGCTAAAGGAAAATACAAAAAAACCCTCAATTCATATAGTTCATCGAATAAATAAAATAAAATAATTTTATTTCAATACATTGGATATAAAATAATATTATCTAATATTGTTAATTTATCTACGTCTTCTATCATTACGACTGTGTCTCCTTCTCTCAACGATAACAGCAGCCATCTCTGCACAACACTTGGTGGTTTGCACCTTCCTCTCAAACTTATTAAATACAGAAGCTGTTTCACATTAAATTGCGTTTAGACTTGTTAAATCACATTGCGTGTAGTAAATAAATGTATTTGCATGTTACCCTCCCATTACTTTGCACAATAAAATGAAACGCCCCAAATTGCATATTCACTAAGGCAAAAGTAGTAAATGAACAACAGGTGCTATCTTGCACTTTTGGAAGACGTCATTCTGTTCTGCGTGCACACCGTTAGCAGATCAGCTTACGTGTTAATTTGCTGGTGATATCAAGTTTGCACACGTTTTTACTCACACAAACCTTTAGTGAATCCGGCCCATTGTGTTGCAGTGGAGGCAGATGAAGTATTACACAGTGCCAAAAGACTCCATTACAATCAAAAGTCCATCATTGAAAAGTTATTAAAGTAAAAGTATATAAGTTTAATCAGGAAAATGTTAAAATTAATTATGTTTAAATTAAAATTTAAAGTAACTTATATTCAATCATCAGATTATCATTCCTCATACATTAAAGTAAAAGCAGGATTTTACGAACGTGACACTTTCGCAATGCTTGTTGTGTCCAACCAACAATCAGATCCTCAACATTATTAACAAACATTACAATTATTACAAAGGAAAAGCAGAAAATCTTCACATGAGAGAAGCTGCAACCATCAAATGTATTTTCAGGAATAATAGTTGCAAATTCATTTTCTGTCAACTGAGTTATTCATGGATCACTTCAGCTATACTTGTATAATCTCTTATATTATATTTTGTGATACTTTCATATGTTTTGTGTATGAAAATATAATTTTTTAAAGCAATTAAAGCTGTCAGAATAATGTAGTGAAGTAAAAAGTACAATATTTCCCTCTATGTGATGGAGTAGAAGTAGAAAGTAACATGAAAAGACGAGCCTTGTGTGTTTTTGATGCTATGCTAATGCAGTTCCTGTAGCTTTATAATTTGGTCAAATAAACTTGGCCCCTGTATCTTCCCAGGTGGCAGTTTGCCAGCGATGGAGCGGATATCGGGTTCGGGGTGTACAGACGGACCAAAGAGGGCGGCGGTCAGAAAGTGGATGAGATGCTGCAAGTTCTGCCCAGTGAACGCTACAATGCACACCTGGTCCCTGAAGACAGCTGCCTCACCTGCCCCGAGCCTGGAGTCTGTGAGTCACCAAACACTCGTGTCCATTAGTTAAAGGAATCAGGTTACTGGGTTACAATAAGCATCATCTACTGTGAATCCCTCATGCGTAGGTTGGTAGGAAGTTTGAATCTGAGGCGGGAAACGTCTCTAACAATTAAAAACATATAATCAAAATTGGGGTTAATGTGATGAAAATCTGAAAGGAGTTTTGGAAAATGTGCTTCTTTGCTTTCCTGTTCAGAGTTAGACGAGAAGATTGATACAACTCTCATGTTTGTACTGGAAATATGAAGCTATCTCCAGAATGTAACAAAATCCTCCAAGCGAACTTGTTGTCGTTTGTTTAATCCGGAGCAAAAGCTTAAGTGTAAAAAGAAAGAAGTTAGCATAGCAGAGCCCTGATCGATCAGAACTCCAGTCAGAAGACAAGTATTTTAAAAGTTGTTTGCTTGTCATCTTGCTGACAGACCTGACAAAGCCTGATGTAAAATGTTTAACAAGTCAACATAATGCTGTAGTTATTTCTGCATCAGTTTGATCCGTTTATTTCCAACTAAACGCAGCAAAATATTTATTTTGAGTTTTGTTTATGTGTGAATAAACAAAAGTGTGTGAACACTCCTACGAGTAGTCCAGCGGTCAAACTCGCGCAATAAACGTGACACAAATTCAAAATTCGCGGCATCAAAGCGACATGTTGTGGGCTTATATGAGGGACTATTTTTTTGCTGTGCGCAGTGAGTTCCTCGAGTCATTAAGTGAGTGCTATATACCGCACATAATCCAACATTTTTACATGTTTTTGTCTGGATTAAACTAACAAGATATAAAATGTTACTTAGGAAGTTTTAGAGGTGCTGTAGGCTGCTTTTTTAAATCTTTGGACTAGAGCTGGGCAATAAAACAACATTTATAATTATAATTAAATCACAAATGAATAAACACAGGGGTTTTTTTGGAAGAAAAAGGACTAAAACTAGATTTTTCTTAATTTTAAAGATTTTCTGTGTTAAGTGATCCACTGTTTGGCATCAAGTGTTTGCTCTGACCAGAAAGTTAAATAGTTTAAAACCACAGTTAACCATCTGGTTACTTCAACTTTCACTCAAAAAACAAAAATCAGCCGTTAAATTATGAATGAATAAATTCAATAATTTTTGAAATCGACTGATATAAATTATTTGTCGTGATAAAATGCTCGGCCATATCTCCCAGCCCTATGTTCGGACTGAGCTAGGCTGTTTCCGGTCTTTATGCTAAGCTAATATAACCAGTCGCTGGCTGTAGCTTCATATTAGAGCCACAACGATTAGTTGTCAATTACTTTGATAATCGATTAATCGCTTTGTGTCCTTTTTTAAAGAAAAAACATCCAAATTCTCTGATTCCAGCTTTTTAAATCTGAATTTTACATTTATTCATTTAGCTGATGCTATTATCCAAAGCGACTTACAATTGCTATAAATGTCAGAGGTCGCACGCCTCTGGAGCAACGAGGGGTAAAGTGTCTCAGGGACACAGTGGATTTGAAGCCGGGTCTCTCGCACCAAAGGCACGTACGTATCTTATCCACTGCGCCATCACCACCTGGTTTCTTTACGATGACAGTAAAATGAAAATATTTGGGCTGTGAACAGCAGAAGACGTTTGAGGACCTCATCTTGGGCTTTGGGAAACACTGATTGCCATTTTTAAAAAGTTTCTGGACCTAACATCTAATTAATCGTTACAGTAATTGACAGATTAATCAGTAATGAAAATAATGGTTAGTTGCAGCCCTACTCCATATTTAAGAGACCGACACGAGAGAGGTGTCGATCTTCTCATCTACCCCTCTGCAAGAAAGCGAATAAGCGTATTTCTGAAAATGAATTATCTCTTTAAGATCCTGCAGGATGCTAGCCAATAACCGGGTTCCACTCTGTCCTTCATTTTGTGCAGACGTGCTGTATTTTGATAACAGCTACAGCATCCTGCAGTCCAAGAAGGTGAGCTACAACGTCGAGGTCGTTCCTCCTCCCTAAGACGGATGCGGCAGAGGAGACGGGAGGCTGCAGTGAGGAGGTCCTCCCCTGAAAACACAGACCCCTGTGTTCACGCACCATCACCAAAATCAATGCTTTGTCATCAGGGCTGGGTTAACCCCGACGGAAAAGCATGAGCTGTGGAGGCAACATCGCCATTTCTCCCACTCTGTGCATTGTGTGTGTTAGTTTGCAATTACTAATTCTTTTACTTTTATCAAAATGGAAGTGTAACTTAAGTCTCCGAGTTTCACCTCTGACCACAGACTGCATCACTGATGACCTGGGGCCCCCGGGACAGTTGCCGGTAGTTTACATTACAATGTGGAAAGTTTTACAGTGTCTGACTGCGACAATTCAATGACAATCACGTTATTTTATTCAGAATTTCAAACCGGAGCTACTACCTGTAAAAGCTCGTCGTTTAGGATCACTTCCTGAAGCTTCATCCAAGGAAGGTTAAAATCAAAAGCAACTGGACTTGGTTGAAGCTATTCGAAAAGGTTTCGTCTCTCATCTGAGAGACTTTTTCAGGTCTGAGACTCGGCCTCGGGTGTCTCCAACGACCATAACGCAGCACTAACGAACCAAGCGGTATGGATCATCGCGACACACGACCCCACAGAGGTGAAATAGCCGAGTTTCCTCGCCAGTCAGAAGAAGTCTCTTGGATGAGAGACAAAACATCTTCTAGTATCTTAAACTAAGTCCAGTTGCCCTTGATTTTAACCTGGATGACTGAGAACCTTCACAGACATCTTCCTAAAGCTTTAGCATGTTTTTGTAATTTCATCTTTAGACTGTGAGAAGCTGATGTGTTACTGTATTTTTACGCTTGGCCTATAGGGGGAAACCTGAGCATAGGATAAGTGTCTCGCCCATAGACTGTATATAAGAAGTGGTCGTAGTCATCGTGACGTCACCCGTTGGTTTGTGGACTGCCGTTTTGAGGCCTCGAGTTTGCTCTGAGCGCTGGTTAAATTTACACCGTGCCGAGGGTACGAGTCACTCTATCCTGATTGACAGATCGCCATGGTATCGACTTGTTAATCACAGATAATCCCGCCCTGAAGCCTCCTCTGCTTATGGTCTCTTTTCCTCTAAATGGGACCATAATTTACTAAATGAACATCATGCTGTGTTGAAGAAGACTTGAAACTAGCGACTGAGACCATAAACTCATCAGGAAAGTGTTTACTGAGGGAATAAATCAGCTGAGAAGTAGCAACATTTTACCATTAAGGAGCCGGACTTGTTTTTGCAACCAGAAGAGTCGCCCCCTGCTGGCCGTTCAATAGGATGCAGGTTTAAGAGACTTCCACATTGGATTCACGTCTCAGACCGGAAGCTTCCCGCTTGGTCTCGCCCCCTTTTCCCAGTCCCAGGACTGACCAAACCAGAGATGAAATGGTTCATCCAATCTGGAAAAACATCGGCCTTAATTACCCATATTATCACCAGCTAATTTACCAGAACAAAAATCAATCAGAACAAAAGGCGATACAGCTGTTCACCACCTGCAACTCAACCAACTGTGCAAACACCAGCCTAAGAAATAACAGCAGAGAAAATACACAGTAGTACTCACATCCAAACTATGACTCAGGGTCACAACGGCCTCGTTACAGCCGACTGACCCGCAAGGGGAGGTCATTTATCAAGTGGAGTTCTGCATCTGGTCGTTGAGTGTTTAAATAATTGTTAATCATACTGCTCTCGTTGTTTGACTTTGCCTTTTATAATTAAGAGTCTGAGAATAACTGTGACGTTTAGAATAATTGTTTATGTGTTGTCTAAATAAATACAAACAATATAAAGTCATTCTGACCACAAAAAAATGTCTTTTTAATTTATGAAGAATCTTCATTTACATTTAGTTTGTATGTTGATGTGGTAATAAAAGCAGAAATAGTGTGTTGAACTGTTGGTTATTAACATTCCTGTACATGGATGGATTATGAGACATTACTTACACTTGTTTTGCATGTTTGTCTGTGCTGTTTTGCAGGTTAACTTTCCCTCTAAAGTTCTGTTGTTGGTTACAAACCTGCACCTGAAGTTCAGTATTCTGCTCATGAAGGACGTTAACGGAGGCTGTGCAAAGCTTTGCCACAGCAGATCTACACAGACTCCTTCTTTCTTCAAATATTATTCAAAATACAAAAGCAGACGGTACAAAATATGACAGGAAATGAATCAAAGGAAAGCTGTGGTGCAGATTATTTTATTGTTAAAGCTATTTCAAACCTTTAAATTGATTCCCTGCGGCCTCAGTGTGCTCTGTGTAGCTGTGATATGTAATAAAAATCAATATGCATCAGACTCGCTATCAAAAAACAGGACGTCCCTACATCTGAATGACCTCTCCGACCTTTCAAAGAGCAAAGTTTATTATTTATTTAAATTTATTAGTGAGGGACTGTGTACAAGATTAAACATAAAGCTACTTTTTTTTAGATGTTCTGTGCCAGAGATGACAAGTTGATTAAATGATCAACAAAACAATGAATCAGCAGCTATTTTGATAATCGATTCATAGTTTTTAAAGCACAAATAGAGAACATTTCCTCATCCCAGCTTCTTAGTAGTCAGAATTTGCTGCTTTTCTTTTTCTCACGTGAAACTAAATTGAATATATTTCAGTTTTGGACTGGTGGAACGACAAAATAAGATGTGCAATTGAGGACACTGAAACAGGCGCTTTTAACTACCTCATTACATGACAATTAATCTAAACAACAATCAATTATAAAAAATAATTGTTAGTCAAAATTCTAGATCATTTTAAGCGCAACAGAAATCATTTTTTGTGCATGATTTTGGGGAGAACTGTACCAGAATCACTAACCGGTTTGACCACTAGGTGGAAATGTAAGCAAGGACGAAGAAAAGCGTTACAGGCTGTTACATAACTGCTGATCACTGAATATTAGGATTTAATAATACATAAAGATGGTTAATAAACATTTTTTTAAAAAGTTCACAGGATATTAAAAGGTGTTTAATTTCATGGTCAAACACAAAATAAGGTAAAAGGTTTTTCCATTTAAGTAAATAAATTCCTATACATGGGAAATTCCTGTTATTATAAGCCGGATGAAATCCCCGCTGCAGAGAGTTCGTGTCTCTGCAGCCCGGGCCGGGCGCGGTGCCAGGGGGATGCGGGATGGTGCAGGGTGAGGGGATGTGCCATGTGCCTTTACATAACAGCAGCTGGCTCTGGATACAATTGGATGAGAAACCGCTGGCCGCAGCAGCAGCATCCCTCCGCTGCGTGCCGCATTGCCCCGAGGAACAGACGAGAGGGGGGGGGGGGATGTTTGTCTGCACGTGCTGCAGCAGAGCGAGCATCAAAATAACGGACTGTGAGCTTTGTGTGTGATGGAAGGTAGGAGGAGGAGTGTGTGTTTGTTTATTAGCTCTATATTGGCCGCTGTCCGGTAGGGGGTGTTACCGGGGGTGTGTGTTGTGGGGGGGGCGGAGCCTCTCGGACACGAGTAAATGACGTCAGCCCACACGTCGCCGAGCAGTGAAACAAACATGGCGACAGAATGGAGCGGGCAGCAGGGTTATGTTCTCACTCTCGTTATATTCCTGTGGAGCGCTGTCGGTGGCCGCACGGAGGCGGCGGCCGGGTCCGGTGTTGGCGGCAGCGGCGGCCGGGGCAGCAGCGGGAGCCAGGTGCTCGGCATGCGGCTGGAGAGGAGCGACAAGCCGGCCAGCACCAATGACGACGGTGTCATCCAGGTGACTGAGGAGAGCTCCCTGCAGCTCCGGTTTTACGGGGTGCAGCTCCACTCGGGCGCCTGGACGCAAATCCGCTTCACGGAGCTCACGGACGGCGACGGAGGGGAGGACGAGGAGGAGGAGGCGGTGGCGGCGGCGAGGGGCGGCAGCGGCATGATGGACGCGCCGGACACGACATGTGCTGATTTCACGAAGGACATCAGCGTCGGGACTTTCATGAATGTCAGCAGTCGCGGCACCTCCGGGCTGCTCACCGTGCACATTAAGCCGCTCCGCAAGAGCGAGCCGCAGAAGGAGTACGCCCTGTGCACGCCGAGCGCGGACGGGAGCAGGTGGGTGCAGCTGGGGGACAGCGATGGCAGGTTGCTGGTGGTGGAGGAGAAGAAGTCCTTGCTGCCCATGTGGCTGCAGATCATCCTCATCCTCTTCCTGCTGGTCCTCTCCGGGATGTTCAGCGGCTTGAACCTGGGTCTGATGGCGCTGGACCCGATGGAGCTGCGCATCGTCCAGAGCTGCGGCACCGAGAAGGAGAAGAAATACGCACGAAAGATCGAACCCATCCGCAGCAAAGGGAACTATCTGCTCTGCTCCCTGCTTCTGGGGAACGTCCTGGTGAACACCACCCTCACCATACTCCTGGATGACCTGATCGGATCAGGTTTGGGCGCCGTGGTGGCCTCCACCATTGGGATTGTTATATTTGGTGAGATCGTACCCCAGGCGCTGTGCTCTCGCCACGGGCTGGCCGTGGGAGCCAACACCATCATGGTGACCAAGTTCTTCATGCTCCTCACCTTCCCGTTGTCCTTCCCTGTCAGCAAGCTGCTGGACGTCCTGCTGGGCCAGGAGATCGGCACCGTGTACAACAGGGAGAAGCTGGTGGAGATGCTGAAGGTGACGGAGCCCTACAACGACCTGGTCAAAGAGGAGATGAACATGATCCAGGGCGCCCTGGAGCTCAGGACCAAAACTGTAGAGGACGTGATGACGCCCATCGGCAACTGCTTTATGATCCAAGCGGACGCTGTGCTGGATTTCAGCACCATGTCAGAGATCATGGAGAGCGGGTACACCCGTATTCCCGTGTACGACGACGAAAGGTCCAACATCGTGGACATCCTGTACGTGAAGGACCTGGCGTTCGTGGACCCGGACGACTGCACCAGCCTGAAGACCATCACCAAGTTCTACAACCACCCCGTGCACTTTGTGTTCCACGACACAAAGCTGGACGCCATGCTGGAGGAGTTCAAGAAAGGTGTGTCCATCATCATTTAACACCAATTCCCTCTGCAGGTTCCTCAGACAGATACACACACCATCCCCAGCAGGCTCCGTCTCAATCTACCGCCGCTATAGATCATTGGGTGGAACATCCCAGCCTACATTTAAACACACGCGAGCTGCAAAACAAATACAATGCACAGCGCAACACAAACAGCTTCATCACTCCTGGTCCTGACGGAACTCACAAGTTCTGATCCTAACAGAACTGGAGTCCAGGTTTCAGCCTCAACGCACCTGATCTGAAACAGGGAGGGTTGTCGGCAGTTATGGAAGAAGTTTTAAGGTCCTTTACCTTAAGTAAAAGTACTAATACCACACTGTGTTAAGTAAAAGTACTAATACCACACTGTGAAAATACTCCACTACAAGTAAAAGTCGTGCATTCAAAACCTTATTTAGATAAAAGTATAATCAACTAAATTTACTTAAAGTATGAAAGTAAAAGTACTCAGAGCAGTAAAATGTTCCCTGGTGTTTCTGGATTAATATTCTTGCTGCATTAATGTGTATGTTGCATTTTACTGCTGTTTATATTTAAGGTGGAACTCATTTTAACTCCTTTATATCCTGTTGGGTTGTTTAATCCGCAGCCATGCATCATATTTTATGAGATCATTTGTTTGTAGCGTCACTGTCCACGTGTCTCTAAACAGTCTGGAAAAACAACCTGTTTTCAGCTTTTTGACGATGCATTTTCCAGCTGATCCAAAGTAGTAATAGTAAATAGTTTATTTTGCTGAACGAGGAGGAGCCCTTAAAGGAACATTTCATCCTTCAGTTTATCATAACATTCACCATCACCACAGCTGGACGGACATGGTTTTGTTTCCCTCTGAGATGTAGTGGAGTAGAAGTCTATGAATTTGTACTTAAGCACAGTACTTAATTACACGGGTTATAATCTTAACAACAGCTCTTCTTCGGTGCCCCGCCGTGTGCGACAGCTGCTAACTGCAAAATACAACAAGAGCTCTTAAACTTTTCTACTTGAGACACCAAATCAGTATTTATTCTTCCCAGGCAGGTCACATTAACCAGTGGTGGAAAGTAACTTTACTACTTTTACTTGAGTATTTCTACACTCTAGTGTTGCTGCTTTTACTTAAGTAGATGTTGCTGGTGATGCCAGTGTTAATAAAAGATCCTAAATCAGATATTTTAATGTATTTAATCTAGATTTTGACACCGGGCCCCGCTATAAAACCTCAAGATTAGATAAGAAGATTGATCACACTCCTGTATATGTCCATTAATATAAAGCCACGCCAGAGACGGTTAGCTTAGCATAGCAGTACCACCGGAAACAGGAGGAAACTAGCCTTGTTCTGTCTAAAGGTAACAAAATCTGCCTACCAGCACCGGGGAAAACCCACTAATTAACATTTTTTTAATCAGAATAAAAGCAAATTATCATTTAGATTAACCAAACAACATCGTTTCATCTAATCTGGCAGCAGGTTTTTATTCCCCATCAGCGATTCAGCAGCTGATGATCGTCTTTTAATCAGAGAGCAGGAACTAATCAGTAAAATCAGCTGCTGTGTAATAATGTTCAATGGGATGTAAATCTGCGCGTTCAGGCGCGCAGGATTAGTGCTGGAAATCTCACCGCCGAAATCCACACCTTGAATCCAAAGCCCGTATCACAACAATGTTGTACCTGCTGCGAATTGAAGCTTATCATGGTGATGATACTATTGTAAGATATCAAATGCTTTTTTTTTCACATTTGTGTTAAAAGCAGCAAACATGGCACATTACAAACAAACACCTGATTAGACTCCAGCTGCATAATACTCTGAGGATGCACAGAGATCTGACTTGTGCATCAGCATGGTTCTGTGTTATACATTTCAGTCTTTGTGGAAATGGGAGCCTCATTTACACTCAGTTTGCCAGAAACGGATGCACACATGTCCTTAATCAACCATTTGCGTATCAATACTTCTCTCGTCTTCATCAGTCTTTCTATAGAAAGAACTCCGAAAGAAGTAGCTCTGTTTCAGCTGTCAATATGTGTAAACATTACGCCCAGCTGTGGCTATTTATAGCACTGTTAATACAAGTGTTTCATTACAAATAAGCTAAACTATTGTTAGTGTTTTAATCATCACCATCCAACATTAGAGAGATCAGTGATTTAGTTAATCATGAAATTAATAAGCAGAATCCAAACACACGTCTCTTATTGAATCCACGGTTCTTGGAAATTTAGTTTTCAACTTGGAACTGGTTATCGATAGCCAACCCTAGTTACACGGCGAGACACGGAAACAGACACAAGGCTGTCGTTGGGGCAAGATGTACAAATGATGCAAGCAAACAAACAAAGCCCATAAAAGGCAAATTAATAACTTCTGCATGATCAATCTCTACGATGAAATTGCTGCTTTCCCATATGGCAACTAAATGTTGAAAGTCTACCCGCCACATTTATTCGTCATGATATCGCCATAAAAAAGCTATCTGTCAGTAGCTAACAGCTGACCGGCGTTCTTTTCTGTTGTGTGTCACAGTTAAATTGGTCCCCGCTGTACCCAGGGATCTAAAATCGAGTAACATACAGATTAGGGGGGTTCATTGGTTGTATTGGTTGGTTTTATATTCATTTCGTGTTACTTGTGTTTGATTGGCGTAGATTTGTGATTTGGGCAATGGGGAAAGAATTGTGATAAACGCCAATATGCTGCATTCGCTCATTTATGGTACTGAACAAAAGTTTGCACCATAATCCCTCCACCGTATGTGCTTTCATTTAGCGTTCTGGTTTACGGAACACCGGCATTCCAGCTGTGGTCCTTCATACAGACATCTTTCCGCCTATGTTACCACCAATGTTCCCAACTCAGGGCGATTGAATCAGATCCCTCTCTCTTCGGCTCGGTACCTTTCATACAGTGCAGCAAGCCGGCATATTGACTTAATACTCCTAGAAAATAGCTACAACCGTAATGTGGCGACATTTACCGGCATTGTGTAGTAACCAAACTAACAACGCAGAATAAATAAAAAGAAACTAAATAAAGGTGGCGGTCCATTCTAGTGTCTGATAAACTGTCAGATCATCTTATGGTCCTGCTGTCCTCCCCGGAGATCATGGAATACGATCCGTAGACTGTGATTCTACAAAAGCGGTGGTGCTGCGGCATCAGGACTCAGAACCAGAAAGCCAGACTTCCCGGACCGTGCAAAGAGGGTGATTGTTGAAAGTGTGCAGTCTGAAGACGAGGTTTAAGTTGAATGATAAAACATGATTAAGAGTGAGCAGTGATGAGATTTATTTAATAGCAAGTATGAAAGTACTAAAACATGTACAGTGGTGCGAAAGTATTTGCCCCCTTCCTGATTTCTTTCTTTTTAATTCATGTTTTGTCAAACTGAAATGTTTCAGATCATCAAACAAATTGAAATAGTAGACAAACACAACACAAGTAAACAAAAAATACACTTTTTAATGGAAAGTTTTTATTTTTAAGGGGAAAAAATCCAAACCTACATGGCCCTGTGTGAAAAAGTGATTGCCCCCCATTTTAAAACATAAATCTGTGCTTTATCACATCTTTGGAAAGCTGAGTTCAATTCCTCTAGCCACTCCCAGGCCTGATTACTGCCACACCTGTTCTCAATCAAGAAATCTCTTAAGTAGGACCTGCCTGACAAAGTGAAGTAGACCAAAAGATCCTCAAAAGCTAGACATCATGCTGTGATCCAAAGAAATTCAGGAACAAACAAGAAACAGAGTAACTGAGATTTATCAGTCTGGAAAGGGTTTTCTAAAGCTTTGGGACGAACCACAGTGAGAGCCATGATCCACAAATGGCGAAAACATGGATCAATGGTGAACCTTCCCAGGAGTGGCCAGTTGACCAATATTACCCCAAGAGTGCAGCGACGACTCATCCAAGAGCTCACAAAAACCCACAACAACATCCAAAGCACTGCAGGCTTCACTTGCCTCAGTTAAAGTCAGTGTTCATGACTCGAGCATAAGAAAGAGACTGGGCAAAAATGGCCCCGCAATGGCAGAGTCCCAAGATGAAAACCACTGCTGAGCAAAAAGAACATAAAGGCTCATCTCAGTATTGTCTGAAAACATCTTGATGATCCCCCAAGACTTTTGGAAAACACTCTGTGGACTGATACACTGTGTCCCATTACATCTGGCGTAAAAGTAACACAGTGTTTCAGAAAAGGAACATCACTCCAACAATAAAATATGGTGGCAGTAGTGTGATGGTCTGGGGCTGTTTTGCTGCTTCAGGACCTGGAAGACTTGCTGTGGTAAATGGAACCAGGAATTCTGCTGTCTACCAAAAAATCCTGTAGGAGAATGTCCGGCCATCTGTTCGTGACCTCAAGCTGAAGCGCAATTCGGTTCTGCAGCAGGACAATGATCCAAAACACACCTCTGAATGGCTTAAAAAAACAAAATGAAGACTTTGGAGTGGCCTAGTCAAAGTCCTGACCTGACTCCAATCGAGATGCTGTGGCATGACCTTAAAAAAAGCGTTTAAGGCTCGTTAACCCTCCAATGTGGCTGAGTTACAACATCTCTGCAAAGATGAGTGGGACAAAATTCCTCCACAGCGCTGTAAAAGACTCATTGCTAGTTATCAAGCAAACGCTTGATTGCAGTTATTGCTGCTAAAGGTAGCTAAAGGTGTGTGAAAATGCAAATAAATAAGAAATCAGGAAGGGGGAAAACACTTTTAGACACCACTGTATATGTGACACAAAAAGACAAGTTATAATTTTAGCCAGTCAAAAATATGCTGGTGGATTTTTTTTCATCTACCAGTCCCCTTGGCAGGTGAGCCAAGAAGTTAATTTCCACCCCAGGTTATAGCTCTGTTCGCCATTAGGTTACCGTGAACAGGAAAAGCTCCCCTCAGCTCCTGTGTTGGAGCTCACGTGTCAGCTAATGTTTATCCTGCTCTAGTGCCCTTTAGCAAATCACTAATTTGAACCTGCCGCAGGCCGGCTGACCGTGACCTCTGACCTGTGGAAGTACAGTTTGGAGCCGATGATGCTGTTTGAGACATGAGTCATTGTGTCAGTGGCTGCTGGCTGCAGCTGACTGTACACGCCAACAAGCCTGGTTCTGTCTTTGGTCGTGACAGCGTTCACACGCCGGCTGATGTTAGTGTGGAGGGTGACTCATAAAGACAGAGTTCAGTGCTGGCTTCGACTCGGCTTTTCCTCTGTTTTATAGCTTTAATATGATCATATACTACGATAAATCAGCATCAACTACAGCAGCTCTTATTAGAAACGGAAACTCTTTAAACAATAATTTCTTTGTGAGCACACGCACACAAAGCAAATGTAAAATAAATAATCTATACAAGGTGAATGTATTTGTCGTATTACAGCAGGGTTGGAAGGTGAGATGCAGTTTGTAGTTACTTTAATGCTACTAAGCAAATATTATATACAAATATTATATACAGAAATAACCTATTTTACATGATGCAGTGCTGCTGAGGATGATAAACGAATTGTGTTATTAAATATATATTTACACACACAGATAAGTGATATAAGATGATGATAATCTAATCCTGCTGTTATTACTGACATGTTTGAACTAAACAGGGCTTGTGCCGTCAACTCACTCGTGGACTTAACCCATGAGTTAATTAAAATTCGCTAAAACACTTAAATTTTGAATAAACAGGAATGTTATATAGAATTTTTAAAAGGACAGTTATTTTACTTACTGTATGGGGAAGAACCTGAACGTTTTACTTCAGCCTGTTTCAGTGGAGTTTAGAGAAAAGAGTTTAACGTTTTCATGCTGACAGCTGATTGCTGTAATTTTCGTTAAGATTTTCCCCACGATATTTAGAGACTGTACTTCGCCTCTGGAAATACAAGTATACAGTATTTACAAACAATGTGTTCTGTCAGCTATATATATGTTTAAATATATAATTTAAAGATAGCTAACTGCATCAAATCACATAAATTTCATTAGAGTTTAAATCTGTGTTGGTGCTCTGCAACGATAGCAGGAGGAGTTTAGCTGAGATTTTCATGATTTGATGTAGCTACTACCTCTTTAAGTTATGAGAAATAATAAACTTTGTCGAGATGTTAGTTCATCAAAGTAGATTTTTCTTTATTTACAGCTTGTTTCTAAGCCAGTCCCAGAAATTATGCAAGGCCATGGTAAAACCATAGACTGCCTAAAACCTGGACGCAATGTCACCCATAAGTGTGAGTCAGGGTAACATTAGGAAATAGTCTTCCTAGCAGCTCCTCTATGTACACCACAAACTACTCCTCCTCGTTTCCTCCGTCGACTTCCTGCAACAACTCTCCTCTCACGCTGCTCATTGCACAATTTTCTCAAGCAGGCTACAATGTTGTTGTTTTGGTTTATGGTGTGTATATGTGTGTACTGTATGCTTTAGTCTGTGTCTGATTCTTAGTTTCCACAATCTGTACACAGCCAGAGAGCACATTTATACACAAATTGACACCAGTGTTCTTTGTTTACGCTTGTGATGAGTAAGCACATAGTGAGCAACGTATAATCCGGAGTCAAATTCAGAATCGTCTTTATTTGCCAGGTATGTGTACACATACGAGGAATTTGACTCTGGATTGTACTTTGCTCATGATATGCTTACTTATACAATAATACCATAATAAAATCAAACACAGACTACAGTATAGAGAACACACACACACATACATATATATATATACTATAAACAAAAACAATATAGACAGATTGAGACATAGTTCAAAGGATGCAGGAGTAAATTATTATTATGTACATGTTGGAGGTGGATGTGATTATACAGGTGCACATACATGCATACATGTACTCATGTACACTGCGATGGAGAATAGTACAAAGAATGCTGGAGTAAATAAGTATTATGTGGAGGTGTTATGTACATGAGGTGGGTAGGTGGATTTGGTATACAGTATATACAATATGAACAACACTGAAATAGAGTGATGAATAAATAATAAGTGGTAACCAGTAAACAGGCAGCTGATTAGAGTTATTGCACAGGAATTGTTTCTGATACTGTGAGGCAGGAATCAGCTGTTCATCAGAGTGATGGTTTGTGGGAAAAAACTGTTCCTGGGTCTGTTGGTTTTGGCGTACAGTGCTCTGTAGCGCCTACCAGAGGGGAGAAGCTGGAACGGGTTGTGTCCGAGGTGGAGATGGATTTGCAGTGATGTTTGTATAAGTCCTGAATGGAGGGCAGGTTGGCACCAATGATCTTTTCTGCAGTCCTGACTGTCCGTTGTAGTCTGCTCCTGTCCTTTTTGGTGGCAGATCCAAACCAGACAGTGATGGAGGTGCAGAGGACAGACTGGATGGTGGCTGTGTAGAACTGGATCAGCAGCTCCTTAGGCAGGTTGAGCTTCCTGAGCTGACGCAGGAAGTACATCCTCTGCTGAGCCTTCTTGATGATGGTGTCAGTGTTGGGCTCCCACTTCAGGTCCTGGGATATAGTGGATCCCAGAAACCTGAAGGATTCCACAGCAGACACAGGGCTGTTGAGTATGGTGAGACAGAGGGTGGCAGATCTGCAGAAGTCAGAGTTAGTTCTGTTGAGGAGTAGCAGTTCGCCCATTTTGTTGGCCGAAAAGCAGACATTCGGCAGGTTTATCGAAGGGAGCACAATGCGAAAACCCCGGTGTCTCAGTTTAACCAGCGCGCCAGCACGCTTCCCCCTTCACCATATCTGGTATATCCCGTACAGAGCTGCCGCTCATCCAACTTATAACTCCGTGAAAGTTCCAGGTTTGATAAAGAGTGGTGTAACAGTCTGAGCAGTTGAAAGTCCGATGTTTAAGAGCTCTTCTCTGGTAAAAGTTACCAGAGAGCAACGGCAGAAAACAGAGTTTATAAAACCCCCCCCTAAGGAAAACGTCGCAGCATCTACTGCACGGATTCAAAATATTTTATACCTACTACTCATTTCAACACCAACATGTTTGAGAATAGGGCCCAGTCTTAATATAATTTAATCCTTGACTCACTTTGGACCAAATACATGTGACTTTGGCTTTGTAGATTACGCTGCTAGTGTGGTTGACAAAGAAATAATGTTGAGTAAATAATGTTTGGTTTAGTATCACTTTTGTCAATTTTTTTTTTTTTTTGAGTTCTTGTTGAAGTATTTTTAAAAATTAACCAAGTGTCTTACTTTTTCACAACGTCATGCATTTTTTGAGTTTTATTTTGCAGCATATGATTACTACTTTTATCATTTTCATTTGTTTATTTCTTAACGAGATATCTGAAAAATGAAGTAGGCCTGGGCAATTAAACAAGGATGTGACACAGATAATGGCGGTGGCTGTAACAGATGATAATTATCGCAATATAATTTCTCCATAACTCATGTTCAATAAATGTTCATTATTCAAAATTCATTTGCACTTTATTGTTCTATTAAGAAATTTATTATGTTGAGAAAAAGGCGACTGGAAAAAAAGATTTTACTTAATTTTAGTCATGCATATTTGTTGAAAACAGATTTTATCATAATAGTTTTGAATGTTCTGCCTCAGATTTTTTAATTGATCCAAAGTTTAAAACCACAATTAACTATCAGGTTTCTTCAACTTTCTCTCAGGAGCAAAAGTCAGAACCTAAAATCTTGAAAGAAATAATGATTTGACATTTATCCTGATAATTATCGATATCGAGTGATATGAAATCTTTTATCGTGATAACATTTTTGGCCTCATCGCCCAGCCCTAATATGAACCAGTCACCATCCTAACTCGTACTTTCTTTCAGCTGAGCCTTAAAAAAAAAAAAAAAAGAGCGTTTGTTACAAACATAATTACATAGGGCTGGATAATTATCATGACAAGTATCAAATCGTTATTTCTTGTGAGTTTTTGCTCCTGAGTGAAAGCTGAAGAAACCTGGTGGTTAATTATGTGGTTTAAACTTTTCTTTGTGGTCAGAACAAACACTTGATGCTAAACAGTGGATAACTTCACAAATCTGTGGCAGAACATTCAAAACTATTATGATAAAATCTTTGTCAACAAATATGCACAAGTAAAATTAAGTTAAAAAATTATATAATTTGAAAGAAATTATATCGGAATAATATTTGTTAGTGTTTTATTGTCCAGTCCTACATTTTTGCATTATTTTGGGCAGCACACACCAGCATCCCTGAAGAGGCCAAAAATAGTGTCTTGATGCCGAGTAACTGTGACGGCTTTCTGTCCTGGCAGCCTCGCCAGATAGTGTGCCGTCATGTCAGGTTTGTTTGTTGCAGACAGACCTGTGCTAGCCCACACGCAGTTAGTGAACATGCACACTCAGCCTGAACACAAGCAAGCAAACACGTATGTTTTTTAATGAGAGCTCAAGAGAACAGGAGAGGATTAATCTCTTCTTTTTCCACTTTCTTCTCAGCCCCCTGCTGCCTCTCCCCTCCAAGCCTCTCTTCTTTATCTCGTTTTGGCACTTCTTCCAGCTCTTTTCTCTCCAAAGCTCTTAGTCCAGTCTGAGCTATATTAAGGCATCAATCTGTCCTCCCAGCAGTGGGGATAAAATCCGCTGACAGATCGAACACTATAGCTTCGCTTCCTCCAAAATAACAAAAACATAAAAGGATGTTTTCATGTAGCAGGGGGCTGAATCTGTTTCAAGGCCAGCTGCAGAGCAACTTCCCATCCCGCCTGTTTGATGCTGCCCTACTTTCCTGATTCTAGTTGGAGAGAATGTGTTGGGGCGTGTAAACTCATAAAATGTTGATATATTCGCGCACTCATGGCTGGTTGTAACCTTCAGGTGATCTCCCACTGTTCTCCTCTCTAGGTAAATCCCACCTGGCCATCGTCCAGAAAGTGAACAACGAGGGAGAGGGTGATCCGTTCTACGAGGTGCTGGGATTGGTCACGCTGGAGGACGTCATCGAGGAGATCATCAAATCAGAGATCCTGGATGAGTCTGACCTTTACAGTGAGTCAGCGCTTGCCGGCCGTGGCCCAGATACAAATGTCATCAGTGTTGGGAAGGTTCCTTTCTGAATGTAATAGGTTACTGATTATAAGTAACCCTATTTAAAATGAAATAGTAGTGTAACTATATTTATTATGCTAAGTTAACCATCATGCTGTGGCTTCATGTTATCACAGAACAGAGTGGTATCAAACTTCTCAAAAAACAAATAAGCTTAGTATTAATAATTAACTTATCAGCAGTAACTTAATCCACCCTTGATCCAGCTACACTATATTGCCAAAAGTTTTAGGACATGCCTCCGAATCATTGAATTCAGCTGTTCCAATCACTTCCATGGCCACAGGTGGATAAAATCAAGCACCTAGGCTGCAGACTGCTTCTACAAACATTTGTGAAAGAACGGGTTACTCTCAGGAGCTCCGTGAATTCAAGCGTGGTACCGTGATAGGCTGCCATTCGTGAAATTTCCTCACTACTGAGTGTTCCACAGTCAACTGTTAGTGGTATTTTAACTAAGTGGAAGAGATTGGAAACAACAGAACCTCCACCATGAAGTGGTAGGCCACAGAGCGGGGTCAGCGCATGCAGAAGTCGCCAACTTTCTGCAGAGACAACAGCTACAGACCTCCAAACGTGGCGTGGCCTTCGGATTAGCTCAAGAACAGTGCGTAGAGAGCTTCATGGAATGGGTTTCCATGGCCGAGCAGCTGCATCCAAGCCTTACATCACCAAGTGCAATGCAAAGCAGCAGCGGTGTAAAGCACGCCGCCACTGGACACTAGAGCAGTGGAGACATCTTCTCTGGAGTGACCGACCACGCTTCTCTGTCTGGCAATCCGGTGGACGAGTCTGGGTTTGGTGGTTGCCAGGAGACGGTACTTGCCTGACTGCTTTGTGCCAAGTGTAGGGGGGGGTTATGGTGTGGGGTTGTTTTCCAGGGGTTGGTTTCGGCCCCTTATGCCGTTTTTCCATTAGCTGTACCAGCTCAACTCGACTCACCTCGACTCGATCGTCCTCTTGTTTTCCATTGCAGATACTACCCAGAGATGGCAACCCCTCAATGTAGCTGGTCGTCATAGCGACGCCACACACAACTGCCGCAACGTGATGTTCAATGCGACACACATACAGCTTTCTCTTTAAGTTAAAGCGTTTCAACATTCCTCAGGATGTAAAGACAGATAAGCGGTATGAAAACCTTCCAGCTGTGTTTTCCTCTGCCGTTGTTGCTGCAGCGGTCTGTGTGACGGCGGGAGCAGAGGGCTCTGCGAGCGGGCAGCTGGCCGGCCTCACGCGCTCCTCCCGCGGGTTGGCGCAGGCTTCCCCCGCAGCCACTTGCGGAGCTCCTCAACTCCGAAAATATTCAAGCACATATTTGTTCCACCATCCCTTCTCATAAAACTGTCAATATTTGAAATCTACACAGCTGATTTCACCTCAGAACTTCTCAGAAGTGGATTTAGTGATGAAATAACGTATGAAAACTGTAAAATGTAAAACTTTGTGTAAACCTCTGTCTGGCGCACGCAATGATGATGCAGTGAACAGTGACGATTCTCTCCAATCAGCAGTCTGCTGTGTTTTCACGTCATATTTTAGTATCACCTCAGCTCACTTGGAACCTCGACGGAGGCGATATGAAAAAAAAGTATCTGGAAGCAGGTACAGGTCCAACTTTTCTACAATGGAAAACCAAAAAAGTCGAGTCGAGCTGAGTCGAGCTGGTACCGTGCAGTGGAAAAGGGGTTTTAGTTCCAGTGAAAGGAACTGTTGATGCTTCAGTATACCAAGACATTTTGGACAATGCTCCCAACATTAGGAAACGGACATGAGTGCACAAAGCAAGGTCCATAAAGACCTGGATGAGCGAGTTTTGTGTGAAGAACTTGACTGTCCTGACCCCAGCCCGATAGAACTCCTTTGGGATTAATTAGTGGGGAGACTGCGAGCTTGGTGATTGTAATTCAGTACACATCTTTTTGTCAAATTTAGCGAATATCTCCTCGCTAGTTGTCTGTTCTGTGTGCGCTGAAAGAAATCAGGTGTTTGTACTCAGCCCTGGCTCTGTAAATAGGAAACACAGAGGCGGACCCACACAACACAAATCCAGCTGTTCAGACAAGAACATTTGTCTGTTAAGTAACGTTTAATAGTCCGCCAAGACATGCTGTTGTGATGTTAGCTATATTAGCAGAAGAGTTGAATAGAGTTGCAAGGATTAGTCGATTAGATGCCAACTGTTAAATTAATCTGAAATGATTTTTATACTTAATTTATCGTTTTGTGTAATTTAAAGTAAAAATCAAAGTTCTCTGATTCCAGCTTCTCAGATGTGAATATTTTCTGGTTTATTTGCTCCTCTGTGGCAGTAAACCGAATATATTTGGGTTGTGGGCAAAACAAGACATTTGAGCTTTGCAGCAGCAGCTGTCGTGAAAGTTTGCTGACCCACACCTGAGCTAACGTTAGCTGCATTACTTGCTGTGTTATTGTCGTCTGGTCTGTATCGTGGTGTTTATCATTTGGGTTTCTCCAGAATCACTTAACTCAACCTTTTTAACTCTTGGGCGACATTATTATGAATGAAACTTGCCCACAAATTTCACCGTTAGTAACCGAGATGTTCTGCCTTTCTTTCTCCCTGCAGCTGACAACAGACACAGGAAAAAGGTGGACTCCAATAAAAACAAGCCCGACTTCTCCGCCTTCAAGCCCGACGCCGACAGTAAAGTGAAGATTTCTCCTCAGCTCATGCTGGCGGCTCATCGTTTCCTGGCTACAGGTGAGCTCTGAGGAGGCGGCGGCTAATCTCACAGCGAGCCAGCTCCGATTTGTTTCACAGGTCGTTCAGCAGACTGATTCTCTGCAGCCTCTGGGGGATTAACCCAGTGGGACCGGAGACACGGTGACCTTAGTGTCCATTTGTCTGAATAGTCTCTTGGTATCCTGATTTTTGAAGACGCAAACTGTTTTTGTGTTGTTGTTTTTGTTTGGGTGTCAGCTATATTTACTGAGTAGATGACTGACCCGTTTGTTAACAGAATATTTTACTTTACTTTAAAATATAGATGTAAAGATTTCGGGTTTTACACAGAAGAGACAGAGACACAAATATCTCCCCTGACAGCAGCATTTATAATACTGTGCGTGTTTAATAAGGGTCAGTATTTGTTCTTTAAAAAGTAAAATATTCTGCTTTATAAAATACTGAAATACCTAATATCCTGCACTGACAACTTGACGCCCCGTCACCCCTTCCTCCCCCAGAGGTAAGCCTGTTCAGCCCGTTCCAGATCACAGAGAAAGTCCTGCTGAGGATCCTCAGACACCCAGACGTCATCCACGAACTCAAATTCAACGAAAGTGACAAACGCTCACCCCAGCACTATCTTTACCAGCGGGGCAAAACTGTCGACTACTTCATCCTCATTCTGCAGGTACACACACACACACACGCACACACGCACACACACACATGTTGAAGTGATTTGAACTCTTAGGGCATCATTACAAAAACAAAGAAATGTTTTAACTCAAAGAGTAACTTTGATATTTTTAAACCTGGACCCATTTTCCCATGTTCATGTGTCTGACAAACTCGGACCACATTTTTAAAAACTTGTCAAGTATTGACTCCCTTGATAAAGACGTTTATATTTTTGTACATGAATTTTGATTTTGTATCGTGTCAGAAAAGGTTGATGGAAACGGCAACAGTTGATTTGAAAAGTTTTGACGTTCACTTGAGGTGGTTTTAGCCTTTTTTGAAAATGCGATAAATGGGAGATGGAAACACCTTTTGCCAAATAAGTTCTGACATAGCAAACATTTAACACACACGACTGCTGTCTGCGTCGTCATGGATATTCTCATAACGCGCGGAAACATGGCTGAAGCCCACCTGAAACACACACCTGAAGACCTCTCTCCTTCTCAGATCCACAGTCGTCAGGTCCATGCGTGTGCTAATCCATCCTTTCACCCAGATTCTTTGTCTTTATAATTTCTATCTTTATAATAACAAATAACAGCTGTTTCATGTGCAGGTTTGCATCATTTCCTGTTTCACATTTCATGTGTGTTTTCTTGACAAAATGTGGTTTGGAGAGTCCTTGTCAGCTCGTGTAGTGTTTGTGTTTAATACACATTTAATCATCAAAGTATATCATCAGAGTATAGTGCCTATGTGAAGAAAACAAACAGCTATGTGTTATACTTAAGCAATCTATAGAATTGCATTCAATACCTTCAATACTATAGAGTTAACAATAGGCTGAATAAAAACTGAAAAACATAAATACATAAATATATTAACTGACCAATCATAAACATTTCGTTGTAGGTTATTATAATGTCCATTGGTATCAATCTTAATACTTTCCTGAAAACATGTTTTAAGTTGTGATATACCACCACTGGCACGCCATCGGTGTGGTTTTCAGTTCTGTCATAAGTAACTTCTTATCCTCAGAAAAGATACGATTGTTTCCTAAACATGTTTCTATAATAGCAAAAATCCTAAATCTCATCTTAAACTGAGATAAGACAGGAATTCAGACTTAAGACGTTTCCATAATAAGCTCTCTGGTGTTGTATTGATTTAGATGCAACAACCGGATTTTATATATATATTTTTTTTATTATTAATATTTTCAACCAACACACAGCGGCTTAAATCTTTTACTAATAGTTATTTTTATATCACTTTACATGAGGTAATGAGCACACGGGTCACTAGTGCTTCACCGGTTTGACAGCGGAGTGCCAGCTGGTCATAATGACGTCAGATGAGTTAGCGCCGGTTAACCCAGGTCAGACCGGTATTAGCACAGAAGCAGGCTGACCTTTTAAGACACGCCTGACTTAAGGTAATTAAGTGGATTTTTTTTTTTTCTTTTTTTTTGGTCGGAGTTGTAGACGTTTGTGTTCAAAGTACAGAATTATCAGGCAAATACTGGCGCTGAATTTGACCAGTACTGATTTGATTTGTGAGTGTAATAACTCACTATAGTGTTGGTAGTCAGGATTTTGATTTTGGACAAATAAGGCTACAATCAATGATTATTTTCATATTGATTATTAGTAGTTATTTTTTTATATATATATACTTTCATGTAAAAAAGTAGCAGCCCAAACCCAAATTTATATTTAATTTACATATATAAATTAGAGAAAAGCAGTAAATATTATGTCAATTAACTTCCTGTTCATTCATCGTCTGGTTTAGTGACGAAAGTAATCTATCTAATTTATTTCTAAAAGGAAAATCTATAAAAGTAAAATATTTATTATAACTTCTGAATAAACAGTTAGGTGATTTCTGAAAATACTTTTTTTTTAAGATAATAATTCAGATAATGAAGGTTTAGTTGTTTTAAATAACAAGAAACTTTAAAAATGATGATATTGTATAAATTTGTTTATTTAACTCATTTAAGTTTTTGCAGTTAAAAATCAGTTTTATTATCGATTTATCTACCAAATATTTTCTCAATAAATTTTTTTTTTGGTCTCTAAGATGTCAAGAAGTAGGTAAAAGTACCAGTTTGAATATTCTGTCCAAGTAGCAGTCAAAACCCCAAAATATTTAGTGTACTCTCACACTATTTCTATAATTTTCCCCCATGAAAGTAATAGCAGATAGATTTTCTGTTGATCGACTAATTGTTTCATGTCTGCGTATCATTTGTGTAAACATCTCTAAATTTAAATATTGTCTCACAATATGCAGAAAAGCTGCAAAACAAAACACCGCCTGGAAGGTTTCAGTATAGCTGTTCATAAACACGTATTTATAGTGCAAATATACTCATCCGGGCGGATCAATAGTCCTGTGATCACGGGTGTTTTCAGAGGGGCTCCTCACTCTGCACGACCTTCACTAATAGATCCTCTTACATAAGAGAGAGACAGATCGGGGGGGTTAAAGGGGAAAAGGAGCAGCGGTGAATGAAAATCAGCTGCAGAGCATATGGAGTGTGAAATAAACAGCAGAGAGGAGTTCAGGGATGAATGTGGTGTTGCAGAAGAGAAAGAGGACGCACCGTCTGTCAGTAAACCCCTCCTCTGCACCAGGAAGAGAGGAACAGCACAGAGCAGCGGGGTTTCTAGTAGGGCTGAACAATTGATCAAAATCTCTACTGCGGTTTTCAAATCGCAGCAGGTGCAGTATTTGTTAAAGGTGATGTGTGTCAAAATACCATTTTAAATTATTATGGTGCTGCAGGGATGTCCTGGTTTACACATCATATTCTACAGATGTACCTTATTCTAGAGACTTCACACCGTAATCATTTAAAGGTCCAGTGTGTAATATTTACGGACGTGTGTAGGATTTATGGACAGAAATGCAATATAAGATCCATTATGTTTTTATTACCTTAGAATGAGACATTTATATCTACATACACCGCGGGCACCCGCTCGCCACGTTGCGTCGTCATGTTTCTGCAGTAGCTGAAAACGGACAAACAGGCTACAGAGCGCGTTTCGTCACTACGTTTTTGTTGTTCGACTTCTGGTAGAATTCAGGCAGTGCAGACACTCATCACTGTTGTGAATACATATGTTAGAAAGAGAAGAAGTAGTAGTAGTAATATACAGCAGGGGTCTGCAAATAAGTTTTGCATCAGAGAAATATTTTCAATCATTAGATCGTGGGTAAGAACACAAGACATAATATTGACTTTTATCAACATAGTGTTCGGTTAGCTCAGTCAGTAAAGCGCAGGTCTCTTACCCTGGGGGTCGTGAGCTCAAATCCACCTTAGGACAACTTTTTCTCTCTCTTCAACATGGATTCTGCAGCGAATGTTTCTCAGATCACGGCATGTGCTGCGCTGTTTTTGTTTCCATCAACCTACGGACGCTTTTTCATTTCCCCAGTATCTCCAGGCAGAGGACATTTAGGGGAATCACGTTGTCTGACGGCTCTTTCAGAGGCGTGTCAAGCAGCTACAGACTCTTTTAATGTCGTTCTGAATTTTTCAAAGTAAAAGCTCAGTTCAACTCCAAATACTGCATTAGAGTAAACAAGCTTCTCACGCTTTTATTTTGTAGACAAGGCCACTAAAGAGGAAGTGATTATGTGAGTAACTGTTGCTGCCATGACTGAGATCTATTTCAGCACCGCTATCAAAGTATTTATTTATATCTTTTGCCGCTATCAAAGCACCGTAATCTGGCAGCGGGCCAGATGTTATTGTTGGTGGGCAGTTTTGGCGACGGTCCATAATCACAGAGAGAATGAACGTGTTTCCCTTGTCAATATTTGTATAAACTTTATTTATGTGTGGTTTATAATGGACTGTGGTGCAGAAACAGTGACAGTGTTTCACACTCTTGGCTCACATTTAACATTTGTTAATGTTATCTGTCAGTAGCCAAGTCACAATAACATGATTTTACTGAATAAATAACTAAATATAATTTCTTAATAAATCTACATAAAGAAACCTAATTTCTTGACTGGCCACTCTGCTGTGTCAGCCACCGTAGCTGTCCTACGCTCTTTGAAGGTTAGGGGTCAGTGTTAGACTGGACAGAGGGTTGCAGTTCACAACCCTCACCACTAGATGCCACTAAATATTACACACTGAACCTTCAAATGAAAATGCGAATAATTATGTAAAAATGATCATATCTGACGATATCGCAATTAGATATTTTTTTCCAAATCGCTCAGCCCTGGTTTCTAGATTTACACACAGTAGGTATTAATATTCACGTATATTAATGTATATTGTCTGCTACGTAGCAGAAGGGAGTTACAAACTCAAACTACCTACCTAAACCCCAACATATGTTAAAGGTCCGTCAGCCCCATTCAGACTGGATTTATTTCTCTCTAGGAGAAATCCTGCGCTGGTCAGTGTTAAGGTCATTAGAGGTTGGCTTAATATTAGATTTTAGATTATTATATATATTATTATATTATACTGATATATGTAAGGAAAAAATAATGAATTCATGATGAGGAATCTGACCAACTTTCAATAATTTACACTTTGTAATACGCAACGCAACAGACACAGTTTGCTTGTGAAAAGGATTCAGGTACAATAAGCAGCCCGAGGGATGACTGCAGATATGTGGTCTATAATCATACAGGGTCTGTCTTGCAGCTCGCGATCGTTCTTTTACCTGCCCAGCTCGCTGTGTGTAAGCGTTGCTGTTTCTTGGCGTGTTTGAAAGTGTGTTGTACATGGAGCTTTGTTGTTGACACCTGAGGTGTGGATAAAGTGACTTCAAAACTTTTCCACTACTTAACTGTGTGTGTGTGTGTGTGTGTGTTTTGAGGTAAAGAGACACTGGACCAGAGCACCTGTGTGGCAGAATGTAATATTTATAGGATGTCAAAGTGTTTCTTATACCTGCCACAGGAGACGTCTCCTGGATTTTGCACATCAGATCTTCCAGACTGACTGACACACACAAGTGTGAAGTACACCGTCAGATAACAGGCTTATTAAATGACAATTTTCTCTTCATGTGTGTGTGTGTGTGTGTGTTTCAGGGGCGAGTGGAGGTGGAAGCCGGAAACGAAAACATGGTGTTTGAAACCGGCCCGTTCTCCTACTACGGAGTTATGGCTCTAAGCTCACCGTCTCTGGGTGAGACAACACACACACAATCACACACACATTCAGTGAGAGTCTTTCAAACAGACGCTGCAACACTTGGACACTCTGTGCTGTTTTCTTTCAAGTCAGCCTTTGAGCTACATTTAACCATCAGTGCATATTCGTTAAATTTATATAGAATTAACATGTAGTTTGGTTGGAAAAGGCAGAAACCACCTCAACTAGCATTGTGACGAAAAATATTAGCTTCTCATTATGATGAGAACGTCTTTTTAACGAGATCCTTTTCTCATTATAAGAAGATATTTTGGATGTTACAGCGACATGTTATTTCTGTAATTACTAGAAAGCAGCGGTGGAGGAAGAATTCAGTGCATTTACATAACTAAAAGTAGTAATACCACACTGTAAAAGTCCCGCATTAAAAATGTTAAATTATTAAAAGTTAAAAGTACTTTAAAATTAGTTCTAAAATGGGAACAAAGTTAAATTTTGTACTTGGCCAACGTACCATCCTGTGCAGGGTCGTGGGTGACATATATACTGATGGTCATATTCATTCTCACGGGCAATTTTTAAATAACAAGTAAAGGATGTTTTTAAAACAAGATAATGTTCTCATTATAACGAGAACCGATGTTTTGGCGTCACGGTGGCAGCAGTGCGTTGCCATAAAGACGGAAAGAATTAAATTAAGTAATCGGAGCCTGTGTTTCTGTTTTCCACAAAGTGCTGACGCTGTTTCACAGAGTGCTGTTTGTAGAGAGGAGTTGAAAAGTCAATTGGCTTATTCCAAATAGGGAAAGCATTTTAAACTCTATTCACTCGTCATAGCCGGCAGGTGATGCCTGAGAAATCGACCAGAGAGGCTTCATGGATATTGATCTGTTGCATTATTAATTATCCTTTCATGTCATTTATAAGAGCTGATAACGGATCTTTATGGTTCTGTTGTTATTGAGGTGTTAAAAAAAAAAAAAAAAAAAAAAGTTGCTTTGTGTTAAATGTTTCAGCATTTAGATTAGCAGTGAGAGAGATTTCTATTTATTTATGGGTTGATTTAAAAAATGTATTCTTCCCAAATAATCTGAAGCTCCACTGAGGAGTCCGACCATCAGCTCTACCCTGCAGGTGTAAAAGGAGGCAGGTGCTGGGTGATGTAAGCCTACCTGAGCAGTGCAGCTCGGTGGTGTCAGTGCCCAGGCTGTTTGGGTCAGAGGCGACGTGACTCTGACTGACTGTACTTGTAAAACGGTGACTCCTAGTGGTTCTGCATCATAACTGCTGATAAAATGCTCTTCTTCTTTTCTCTGCTCTCCCGTTTCCTGTCGACCTGTTTCTGTTTCTTGTTCTGTCCCTGAGAAACTGCTGTCTGTTTCTTCATGTGCACATTAAGCAGCTCAGTGTGTGTGCATGTGCAGCGTCAAATGTATACGTCAAACACTCGACCATTTCTCATCCTAAATAGGATTAGGCATCGGGAACCGGTTCCAAGTCGGAATCGGTACCAGATTACCAAGAACTGCGGATTCGTTAAGACCCGTGCGTTTGGATTCTGCTTCTCTGTTCCTAACTTTCTGCATAATACAGCATTTTACAGTCCATAAAAGTGTCATACGTCACGTCATTTGTTACGCAGTACGTCAACAAAGCATGAAGAAGAGAGTCCTTGTGTTTCCAGTCCTTGACCGCGGCGGACCGCAGCAAACGCTCCAAAGTTTGGCTTAGCTGCTGTAAAAAAAGAGAACGACGCAGCAAAATGCAACAGCTGCAGTAAGGAGGTTTGGTGCGAGGGAGGAAGCAGCTCCAACATGACGAAGCGTTTACAACTTTCACTTTAGCCATGAAGGTGAAGATGAAGGTCACCGAGCGCTGGCTAGACCTGTGGTGAAGGAATCAGAACCAAGATTCAATAAGAACCGGATCGATAAGTAGAATTGGATTCGAAAAAATGTAAGCGGTAGCCAACCCAAATCCTAAATGCCTAATGTATCTTGTAAAAACAGTAATCAGAAAGTTGCAGATTTTCTGCCTGATTAAACCACCTGCTGGGCCAGTAAATGGATGTGATATAAAGATAGAGAGAAGATTAAATCAACAAGCCCGCAGCCTGATGTAATAAAGCTCCAGTATTTATTGTAGTAGTAAAGAAGCATTCTGATGTGAATATTGCGTTTGGTGCCAAACTTTTATCTTATTACAGAAATAAAGTTACCACCATTGATGTTGACGTAAGTAACAATTGTTGATTTTTCTCACCAGAAAACTCTGACAAGTTATTTTGTCAACTGTACAAGTAATCCTTTTTAAATGTTTTTGTATTTATCCATAATGTGCTGATAAAGAACTTTGATTTTGTAATTTCTAATTCCTAATTAAAAAGCAGTGACATTTATTAAGGTTTGAAACTTTAACAACTGTTAAATTAAAGTGAATAATTATGAATTATTCATTTATTATTTTAGTTAAAATATATAATAAATTAGTACTATATCACCTCTCTATAAATTTATATGTACTGTCAGTTTCTTTTCTTTCTTTTCTTCTAAGAAAATTGCAGTAAACTTTGAAACTAACGTGTTGCTATAAAATGACCCGCTCATCACACATTGGGTTTAGTATAAAATATTTTAGAAATGAAATAACATTATCAAGAGAATGTGAAGAAGTAACAGAGGCATCTACTGAAGTTAGCGTGCTAACGAGCTAACGACGGCCCGTCCTGTGTTGTCATACCACAGTTGAGGCTTCCTCCTGTAGTTTCAGCAAGTTCCACAAGCAATCTTAGCTTTTTTTAGTCTAACAAACTCACAAAATACCAAGAAAGGAAATATTTTTACACCTATTTTCCTGATCAAACAGAAAAATACAACCGGAACACCTTGTGAATTAATGTTTCTCTCTTTAACCAAACTGATGGCCTTGTTGTCTCGTCTTCTTCAAACTCTAAACAAAAAGAAAACTAAATAAAACTTGGTTACTCTTTCCACTGTTCCAACAATCACCAGCTCTGGTTTGGTGGAAATAAACCCTTAATTCAGCGAGTTGGATGTGAAATATTCTGCCTCTCTGATGCCTGACCTCCCTCTCGCTCCTCTTCTGACCCCACCTGAATCCGCCGTTGTCGTGGAGGTTGTGTTCGGTCCCCGTCACTGGGAGGCTGCTGAGCCCGGTTACCTTGCCCAGTCATTCCCACTATTCCAGACTCCGTAATCCAGAATATGTCTGGCTCTGCTCTGAACTCCAGCTGTCATCTAGCAGAAAGTAAATTTTTTAATGACCCATGTGAATGTGTAATCTCTGGCCTTGCATAGAAAACTGGACCACGTATACAGTAAACAGCTGGTTCTGTTTTTATGTCAGGTGGTTGTGTCATCCATTCAAATCGGTAAATACATGTTAAAAATTAAAAATATTGTTCTTATCTGGATCTGTTTATCTATTGTGGGGGGGGGAAAGTGAGGGAGGGGAACTAAATTATATTTCCTCAGTGTTTTGTTACAGAAGTTGCAGGCGTAGGCCCGCTGAAAATTTTAATGTGGTTTGCTTTGAACTTTGAATGTTGTTCCAACCAGCCGGCCCAGAGGCTCATTCTGCAGATGTGTTGAAGAAGACGAACTGATCAATCAGCTGTTTGAGTAAAATAAAAAAATGACTTCACCTACAGAGAATAGCTGCACGGCGACGCAGCGGCTGAAATGAAAGACAAATAAACAAGCCCCTCTCTCTGTCTCTGCCCCTTCCTCCCCCTCCTCTCTCTCAGCCGTCACCCCTCCCCTCTCCCCTTCAGTGGCGTCTCCCCCTCCGCGACGCCTCTCTCTTAAAAGGTTTTCTCTGTTCACTCGTTTCCCAGGTAAACACTCGCATGGGAGGGAGGGAGGGAGGGAGGGGGGTCCTTTTTATGGCAATCTCACCATTTCCTTTCTTCCATTATCTTCAGAGCCCTGATCCAGCAAGTACAGACCCGGTTAAAGTACAGGACAGTTGGCAAGAAGGAAACCGTTTTGCATTTTTTAAGTTTGATTTACTTTTTGACCCTTTTCAGTGCTTTTTTGGATTCACCTTTGACCTCAATCAGACTGACAACAGGAGCATTTAACTTATATATATATATATATATATATAGCAATGTATTCCTTTGGGGGAATTGCAGCGAGGGAATAATCTTGTGATAATAATCTCGTGAAAGGTGAGTTGGTGCAGGAAGACGAAATGTGAGTCAGAGTTGGAGAGAGGAGTTTGCTCCTCTACGTTACACCTCTAGCTCACGTTTTCACCGGTGTCTTCTTGCAACAACTCACCTCTCAGGAGATTTCAGAGTGAGAATTATCCTTGAGCGAGACTTCAGTTTCCTGTTAAAAACAAAGAGGGTCACCAGGACTCACTCGTAGGGATCCTTTCCATGATATTGTCAGACACCTGGTGTGAGAGTCTGAACCTGTCGTCTGCAAAAAGAAGCACTTTTTCTGTATCAGTATCATGTGACCCATCGGATCACAGTGCCGTCTTCTGTCAGCAGATTATCACAGTGTGAAACCGGTCGGACAAACTTGCTGGACGGGGCTCTAGGTGCGGCGTCCTCTGTTTTCTAACCCTGTCACCACCTCCTCCCCTTTAACCACTGGATCTATGGTCAGATATTATTGATAACTCCCATGACCTATCAACAAGAAGAGTAAGCTATACTGACCGTAGACCTTTTGGTTGAAGGAATAGTTTGACATTTTGGAGAAATATGCGGATTTGCTTTTTGTTCTTTACGAGAGCTCTACGGTGAAGATGGATGCAGCTCTTATGTCTGTCCTTTTAAAGGGAACCTATTATGCTATAGCCTATATAGCTAGCTTAAAGAGACAGGAGCATCTACAGCTTGTTTCAGACAGAGGCTGAAGTAAGTGCCTGCATGAAGTGCCAGTATAAGGTAGAACTTTGAATCATGCAAAACTGCTACACAGGAGTCACAGAACTATAATATAGGTCTGGAAATGCACTATAATAGGTCTCCTTTAAATGGGAAGCTGCCAGTTAGCTTAGCTTAGCATAAAGACTGGAAGCAGCTAGCCTGCCTCTATCTAAAGGTAACAGGGTTATATCTTGTTTGTGTAATCCGTACCAAAAAAACAACAATACAACATTAATTAGTCAGCAGAAATTCAGATTTGTTTTACCTTTTGACAGAGACAGGCTAGTTGTTCCCCTTGTTTCCAGTCTTTATGCTAAGCTAAGCTATTGAGCTGCTGGCTGTAGCTCCAAAATCTTCTCATCTAACTTTTGGAAAATAAATAAAGCAAATAAAGATTACTTTCCAAAATGTTGAACTGTTCCTTTAAGCACATAACGTTCCCCCACTTGACCTCCTCTGTGCGACACTGAACTCAAGTTCTCTGATCATCACCGACGCTCTCTCCCCTTTTAACCACAACCCTTCAAGCAAGATAACAAAGATGCCTTCCTGCCCCTGCGTCACCCTTCATGACATCACTAAAACCCCAGCCAATGAGAGAGGTTCCTCCTCTGAGGTCACACGGTCCCGTTTCAGCCCATAAGATGCTCAAACGATGCACTTTGCCTCATCGCACGGCATGTTTGTCGCATTGTTTGCATAACAATCTTTACCATCAGTCCATCATAGTGAATGTGTGACATCGACATTAATATGTTGTGTGTTTGTGTCACGTGTAGCAATGTGTTCATGCTCACTACTTCATTTTTTTTCCTGTTGTTTCTTTGTGTGTTTTCTGCTTTTATTAAAATTTAAGTGTGTGCTGGCCGTTGTTGATTTTTGTTTATTTTTTTGCTTCGCCACACCTTCGCTCACTCTGTTCTCTGTCAATCCCAGAGTTTCGATCTCCATCACACGCGGGCAACCTCAACCGCTCGGCGTCTCTGAGCTGCACTGAGCGCGCTCCAGAAAGCTGCTCTGTTGGCGGGAGCATCACTCAGATCCCAGGCACCCCCTTCCAGTACATACCAGACTTCTGCGTACGTGCTCTCACAGACCTGCAGTTTGTCAAGGTAACTCTCTGCTGTATATCTCTGCAGTTTAGACAATCGTGAGCAGCATTAATACACCAATACATTGATGTACAAATATTCCATTACAAGTAGAAGTCCTGAATTCAATGTTAGAGCAGCATTTTACTGTTACTGCTGCTCGAGGTGTTGCAAGTTTCACTACAGTTATCTAGTTTTAACCACTTTATATACAGTGAAATTATTTTAACCACTTTGTATAAAGTTAAATTATTTTCACTACTTTATATACAGTAAAATTATTTTAACCACTTTATATACAGTGAAATTATTTTAACCACTTTGTATAAAGTTAAATTATTTTCACTACTTTATATACAGTAAAATTATTTTAACCACTTTATTTACAGTGAAATTATTTTAACCACTTTTTATAAAGTTAAATTATTTTCACTACTTTATATACAGTAAAATTATTTATATACAGTCCGCTAGTTTCACTACTTTATATACAGTGAAATTATTTTAACTATAATACAGTCCGCTAGTTTCACTACTTTATATACAGTGAAATTATTTTAACCACTTTTTATAAAGTTAAATTATTTTCACTACTTTATATACAGTAAAATTATTTTCACTACTTTATATACAGTAAAATTATTTTAACTTTAATACAGTCCGCTAGTTTCACTACTTTATATACAGTTAAATTATTTTAACTACTTTATATACAGTGAAATTATTTTAACTTTAATACAGTCCGCTAGTTTCACTACTTTATATACAGTTAAATTATTTTAACTACTTTTTATAAAGTTAAATTATTTTAACTATAATACAGTCCGCTAGTTTCACTACTTTATATACAGTGAAATTATTTTAACTATAATACAGTCCGCTAGTTTCACTACTTTATATACAGTTAAATTATTTTAACTTTAATACAGTCCGCTAGTTTCACTACTTTATATACAGTTAAATTATTTTAACTATAATACAGTCTGCTAGTTTCACTACTTTATATACAGTGAAATTATTTTAACCACTTTATATACAGTGAAATTATTTTAACCACTTTTTATAAAGTTAAATTATTTTCACTACTTTATATACAGTAAAATTATTTTAACTACTTTATATACAGTAAAATTATTTATATACAGTCCGCTAGTTTCACTACTTTATATACAGTGAAATTATTTTAACTAACATACAGTCCGCTAGTTTCACTACTTTATATACAGTTAAATTATTTTAACTACTTTTTATAAAGTTAAATTATTTTAACTATAATACAGTCTGCTAGTTTCACTACTTTATATACAGTGAAATTATTTTAACTATAATACAGTCTGCTAGTTTCACTACTTTATATACAGTTAAATTATTTTAACTTTAATACAGTCCGCTAGTTTCACTACTTTATATACAGTTAAATTATTTTAACTACTTTTTATAAAGTTAAATTATTTTAACTATAATAGTCTGCTAGTTTCACTACTTTATATACAGTGAAATTATTTTAACTATAATACATTCTGCTAGTTTCACTACTTTATATACAGTAAAATTATTTTAACCACTTTATATACAGTGAAATTATTTTAACCACTTTTTATAAAGTTAAATTATTTTCACTACTTTATATACAGTAAAATTATTTTAACTACTTTATATACAGTAAAATTATTTATATACAGTCCGCTAATTTCACTACTTTATATACAGTTAAATTATTTTAACTTTAATACAGTCCGCTAGTTTCACTACTTTATATACAGTTAAATTATTTTAACTACTTTATATACAGTGAAATTATTTTAACTAACATACAGTCCGCTAGTTTCACTACTTTATATACAGTGAAATTATTTTAACTACTTTATATACAGTGAAATTATTTTAACTAACATACAGTCCGCTAGTTTCACTACTTTATATACAGTTAAATTATTTTAACTACTTTTTATAAAGTTAAATTATTTTAACTATAATACAGTCTGCTAGTTTCACTACTTTATATACAGTGAAATTATTTTAACTATAATACATTCTGCTAGTTTCACTACTTTATATACAGTGAAATTATTTTAACCACTTTATATACAGTGAAATTATTTTAACCACTTTTTATAAAGTTAAATTATTTTCACTACTTTATATACAGTAAAATTATTTTCACTACTTTATATACAGTTAAATTATTTTAACTTTAATACAGTCCGCTAGTTTCACTACTTTATATACAGTTAAATTATTTTAACTTTAATACAGTCCGCTAGTTTCACTACTTTATATACAGTGAAATTATTTTAACTAACATACAGTCCGCTAGTTTCACTACTTTATATACAGTGAAATTATTTTAACTAACATACAGTCCGCTAGTTTCACTACTTTATATACAGTGAAATTATTTTAACTACTTTATATACAGTGAAATTATTTTAACTATAATACATTCTGCTAGTTTCACTACTTTATATACAGTTAAATTATTTTAACCACTTTTTATAAAGTAAAATTATTTTCACTACTTTATATACAGTAAAATTATTTTAACTACTTTATATACAGTAAAATTATTTATATACAGTCCGCTAGTTTCACTACTTTATATACAGTTAAATTATTTTAACTACTTTATATACAGTGAAATTATTTTAACTAACATACAGTCCGCTAGTTTCACTACTTTATATACAGTTAAATTATTTTAACTTTAATACAGTCCGCTAGTTTCACTACTTTATATACAGTTAAATTATTTTAACTTTAATACAGTCCGCTAGTTTCACTACTTTATATACAGTGAAATTATTTTAACTTTAATACAGTCCGCTAGTTTCACTACTTTATATACAGTGAAATTATTTTAACTAACATACAGTCCGCTAGTTTCACTACTTTATATACAGTGAAATTATTTTAACTTTAATACAGTCCGCTAGTTTCACTACTTTATATACAGTGAAATTATTTTAACTTTAATACAGTCCGCTAGTTTCACTACTTTATATACAGTGAAATTATTTTAACTAACATACAGTCCGCTAGTTTCACTACTTTATATACAGTGAAATTATTTTAACTAACATACAGTCCGCTAGTTTCACTACTTTATATACAGTGAAATTATTTTAACTAACATACAGTCCGCTAGTTTCACTACTTTATATACAGTGAAATTATTTTAACTTTAATACAGTCCGCTAGTTTCACTACTTTATATACAGTGAAATTATTTTAACTTTAATACAGTCCGCTAGTTTCACTACTTTATATACAGTGAAATTATTTTAACTACTTTATATACAGTGAAATTATTTTAACTACTTTATATACAGTGAAATTATTTTAACTTTAATACAGTCCACTAGTTTCACTACTTTATATTCAGTGAAATTATTTTAACTTTAATACAGTCCGCTAGTTTCACTACTTTATATACAGTTAAATTATTTTAACTACTTTATATACAGTGAAATTATTTTAACTTTAATACAGTCCGCTAGTTTCACTACTTTATATACAGTGAAATTATTTTAACTACTTTATATACAGTGAAATTATTTTAACTTTAATACAGTCCGCTAGTTTCACTACTTTATATACAGTTAAATTATTTTAACTACTTTATATACAGTGAAATTATTTTAACTAACATACAGTCCGCTAGTTTCACTACTTTATATACAGTTAAATTATTTTAACTACTTTATATACAGTTAAATTATTTTAACTACTTTATATACAGTGAAATTATTTTAACTTTAATACAGTCCGCTAGTTTCACTACTTTATATTCAGTGAAATTATTTTAACTTTAATACAGTCCGCTAGTTTCACTACTTTATATACAGTGAAATTATTTTAACTACTTTATATACAGTGAAATTATTTTAACTTTAATACAGTCCGTTAGTTTCACTACTTTATATACAGTGAAATTATTTTAACTACTTTATATACAGTGAAATTATTTTAACTAACATACAGTCCGCTAGTTTCACTACTTTATATACAGTGAAATTATTTTAACTTTAATACAGTCCGCTAGTTTCACTACTTTATATTCAGTGAAATTATTTTAACTTTAATACAGTCCGCTAGTTTCACTACTTTATATACAGTTAAATTATTTTAACTACTTTATATACAGTGAAATTATTTTAACTACTTTATATACAGTGAAATTATTTTAACTTTAATACAGTCCGCTAGTTTCACTACTTTATATACAGTTAAATTATTTTAACTACTTTATATACAGTGAAATTATTTTAACTACTTTATATACAGTGAAATTATTTTAACTACTTTATATACAGTGAAATTATTTTAACTACTTTATATACAGTGAAATTATTTTAACTTTAATACAGTCCGCTAGTTTCACTACTTTATATTCAGTGAAATTATTTTAACTTTAATACAGTCCGCTAGTTTCACTACTTTATATACAGTGAAATTATTTTAACTACTTTATATACAGTGAAATTATTTTAACTTTAATACAGTCCGTTAGTTTCACTACTTTATATACAGTGAAATTATTTTAACTACTTTATATACAGTGAAATTATTTTAACTAACATACAGTCCGCTAGTTTCACTACTTTATATACAGTGAAATTATTTTAACTACTTTATATACAGTGAAATTATTTTAACTACTTTATATACAGTGAAATTATTTTAACTTTAATACAGTCCGCTAGTTTCACTACTTTATATTCAGTGAAATTATTTTAACTTTAATACAGTCCGCTAGTTTCACTACTTTATATACAGTTAAATTATTTTAACTACTTTATATACAGTGAAATTATTTTAACTACTTTATATACAGTGAAATTATTTTAACTTTAATACAGTCCGCTAGTTTCACTACTTTATATACAGTTAAATTATTTTAACTACTTTATATACAGTGAAATTATTTTAACTACTTTATATACAGTGAAATTATTTTAACTACTTTATATACAGTGAAATTTTTTTAACTACTTTATATACAGTGAAATTATTTTAACTTTAATACAGTCCGCTAGTTTCACTACTTTATATACAGTTAAATTATTTTAACTATAATACAGTCCGCTAGTTTCACTACTTTATATACAGTTAAATTATTTTAACTTTAATACAGTCCGCTAGTTTCACTACTTTATATACAGTTAAATTATTTTAACTACTTTATATACAGTGAAATTATTTTAACTTTAATACAGTCCGCTAGTTTCACTACTTTATATACAGTGAAATTATTTTAACTACTTTATATACAGTTAAATTATTTTAACTTTAATACAGTCTGCTAGTTTCACTACTTTATATACAGTTAAATTATTTTAACTACTTTATATACAGTGAAATTATTTTAACTAACATACAGTCCGCTAGTTTCACTACTTTATATACAGTGAAATTATTTTAACTTTAATACAGTCCGCTAGTTTCACTACTTTATATACAGTGAAATTATTTTAACTATAATACAGTCTGCTAGTTTCACTACTTTATATACAGTTAAATTATTTTAACTTTAATACAGTCCGCTAGTTTCACTACTTTATATACAGTTAAATTATTTTAACTTTAATACAGTCCGCTAGTTTCACTACTTTATATACAGTTAAATTATTTTAACTACTTTATATACAGTGAAATTATTTTAACTAACATACAGTCCGCTAGTTTCACTACTTTATATACAGTTAAATTATTTTAACTTTAATACAGTCCGCTAGTTTCACTACTTTATATACAGTGAAATTATTTTAACTACTTTATATACAGTGAAATTATTTTAACTATAATACAGTCTGCTAGTTTCACTACTTTATATACTGTGAAATTATTTTAACTATAATAACTAAATTAAAAAAGATGTGGTAATAATGTTGATATGCGGCTCGCTGGTAAGAATTCAATAATGTGTGACCATCAACATTGACGCTTTTACTCCCAATTTCTACTTTCAGTTTTATTTCCCAGTCTCTTATTAGCTTTAAGAATGAATGTATTGCACATTTTCTTTTTCAGAATAACCAGAACTATTTTAATGTATATAATGTGCTCTAAAATTGATTATGTAAGTATTTAGAATTTGTAATCACCTAGGGAAGGAAAGTTACAAAATGCATTTTATCAGAATTGTGAGGAGCTCATAATGGTTACGCAACTAACCAGTGTAATCTGTGAGGGTTTTAGTGAAACTAAGAGCTCACAACATAAAGAGGGGTTAAAGATCAACACCTAGAATGTGAACACTAAGGCATCATAACCAATTAATAAAAGCTTGTTCATGGGGAGCAGGGTAATCGATGTGTTGATTGACAGCGAGATAGACCAATCAGCCTCACTGAAGCAGTGGGTGGGAGGCCGCGGTTCTGCTAGGACTGATAAAACTCTCATTTACCGTCACTGTTTGTCTCATCAGTGTTGTTTTGTTCTACTCAGATTACTCGTGCTCAGTACCAGAACGGTCTCCTGGCGTCCAGGCTAGACAGCACGCCGCAGTCTCCAGAGGGCAGTCGCACTCGCCTGGACACATCCGTCTCCTTGCCTCCTGTGTCGCCTCCGGGGATCCGTGCTCCAGTGCTGCTGGCCACGCCTCCTGCAAAGCGCCAGCCGGCTAAAACTCAGCTTTCACCGAGCAACCGCGCCGCTCTGCCCCAATCCACCTCCTCCAGCCGCAGACCGAGCCAGTCTCTGCCCCAAGCCCCTCCCCCTCCGAGCAACCACACCCCACTCTCCCAGACCTCTCCGTCCTCCGTGAGTACAGCGACGTGCACCTTCAACCCCCACCAAACTATGACCTCCTCCAAGTCTCAGCAGTCCCCGTCCTCTGCTGGCCTGGAGAACGGGCCGGGAGAGACCACCACTCTGCTCAGTGAGCAGCAGAACTGCGTGGGCCCCCGCAGGCCCAGCCACACCCAGGCGCACCCCCACCCACATGTTCACACCATCAGTCACGCTCACACTGAAAGCACCATCTAACTGAAGTCCCTGCGGGGCGACTAAACTACCTGTGCAATCGCTCACATACCGCACACTCGCACTACTTCCTGTTTCCTGTGTGCTTGTTGTCTCCTGAACTATTCTGTTGACGTCCCTCCTGCATGTTCCCCTCCGAACACTGACAAAGATCAACTACAAAGATGGCCGAGGCACAGGGAACACTAGTGAGTATGAGACGGGGTTGTGTATGTGTGCTCTTAAAGGATCAGTCCACCCAGATTACAAAAAGACATTTTAGTTACCTCCAGTGGAATCTAGCCTTGCAGATGGTTTTGGGATATCTGCCTCTGAGATTTATGCTTTCAGCGAGTCCAGATCCACAGCTGTACCCACGAAAGTAGGGCTGAACAATTAATGAAAATCTTTTCTAAATCGCAATAAGGCCTAATGCAATTTTGAAATCGCAATTTTGTTAAAGGTGATACATGTGTCAAATACCATTTTAAATTAAATATCGTCGTGCTGCAGGATGTCCTGGCCTACACATCTTACTCTACAGACTTAAACAAAAATCTTTGTTTGGGACAGATCCATGCAAAAATCACACCATCATTTATATATTTTATATATATTCTATATTTTTTAAATTAAAATGACAATTATGTAAATTATCATTCCCTCCAGCATTGCAAATATATAATCGCTTATTAGATTTTTGAAAATCGTTCAGCCCTACATGAAAGCCAACGTCAGCTGATGTCAGCTAGGCCATTTCGGCCCTTTTCGTGTATTTGCAGATATCTCAAAACCTCTGTACAAAATACTGAAACGATTTGCAAGTTGTGGGGTGGGGGCTGTTATTTATGTGCACAGACCTTTTTAAGTGATTCCTGGTCAGACATTAATAGAAAACTCACATTCCCACCTGCTTTTTCCAAATCAGTGCTGCTACACAGGTTACTGTTTAGTTTTTTTTTTATTTAGTTTGCCTGTCAATTTCCATTTATTTTTCCAAAGAGTGAAACATCCAAAAGCTTTTAAAAGTTAACAGTGAAGGTCTTTTTTAAAGAAATATGATTTAGTTAGGCCTTGTTATGGAACAGCAGTTGGTTTGAGAGGGTTCTTTGGAGATGAGACGGCCTTTGATTGTGACAGATTGTGCCTCCGTCTGTGCTGAGCTGTCTGTGAGTCAGTTCAACTACCAGCAAACGGACCAGAGTCACTGTTCTGAGTGAAACTTAAACAACCATATCAGTGATTTTGCATGTTTTTGCCCATTCAGTACAAATCATGAAAACTTTGCCTTGCTACTGACTATTTTTGCAAACAATGCTGCAGTTTTCTAGATTTTAAAACAAAAACTCTACTTATTTTAAAGTATTTTTAAAATAATATATGCTATTCCATTTTATTATTATCAATTAATAATTCAACATTTAAACACATAAGGAAATATAAATATTAATTGGCTAATAAATCATCTTTTAAATTACATTTTTAGTTTATTGATGCACAATTTAATGCAAATACAATTAATGAAGTAATAATAGCTTTTTGCATTTATGAATTTTTTAACTGATAATAACTCAGTTCTGTAAAAAAAAATTAATCAGGTCACTGATTGATATACCCTACAGAAATTAACTGAAACCAGTAGCTGGCTGAAAAGTGAAAATAGAATAGTCCACAGTGAAAAATTAAGAGGCTAAATCTTGCAAAAACACCAGTATGGTCCTTTAAGTGAATATTACTACTGATGTGAAGGTGGGTGTCTTCCTGGCCTACCTCTTGACCAAGGCAATGTGTTTAAAATTAGAGTGAAAATATTTATTTTATGCAATACTAATTTATATATATTTGACATTTAATTTGTTATTTTTTTTAAATATTATAGAGATTTTATTTATTTTTTGGGATTTCTTTGGTTCTTGAAAACACTGCAGTTTGCGTTGAGGGATGAGCTGCACACATCAGATGACCCTGAAGTGCACAGACACTGTTTATTGTGAACGGCTTTCAGTTTGCATCTCCACTAAATATTTCCTCACTGTTATGGGAGTTCGTTGTGACACCAGCTCCTTCGCAATGTCAAGACACAAAGAGATGACCAAGCTGGAAGACGTTGCAACATGTTGGACTAATGTCAGAAGTCTTGGTTGGAAGTGACACTGTGCTTTTTTTATTTATTTTCCTCTGTGTTATTGTATGTCTGAGCACACAATGCAATTTGGGTTTACTCTAACATAAAAGTAGTTTAATGCGTATAGTTTTCAGTAGCAGGTATGGTCACAGGTTTAATGAGGGAATGACTACATATTCTCTGCACACGCTCTCTTATTACAGAGAATGAGTTTGATAACATACTGACCAAACTCTTTCTTTCAGAGGCTCCGGACTGTTTCGGTTCTTAGTCATGAGTCAATGTCTTTTATTTATAAGTAAATCAGCTGTTCATTTATGTGTTCTTCTGCTCTTATATAATTGAGCTGTTGTTTTTAAGAAATAGTTCGACATTTTGGGAAATGTACGTATTCACTTTCTTGCTGAGAGTTAGCTGAGAAGATTGATACCTGTCATGCCTGCTAAATATGAAGCTAGGCAGTTAGCTTAGCTTAGCATGAAGACTGGAAGCAGCTAGCCTGACTCCCTACACTTCTTTGTTTGATCAGTACGGAAGCCCTTAGCGGCCATCGATTCAAAAAATTTTTTACTCCATTTTCCTTTGATAACAGGATAATTTTCTTGTGATCTAGAAATAACAAACCATAGCTGAACAGGTGCGTCGGCAGGTGCGTTTCTTTACGATAATTTCCAAGTAATTGTTAGTGTCACTGATTAGCTCAATTGGTAGAGTGTAGACTTCTGCTCTCAGCAACTTTTTTTTTTTCTTTCGTGTTTTTTATTATCCTCTTTGTTATGAAGAGATTCAGCGGGATCCAATCACACAATTCCCGACAGCTATTTCAAAGGTTCTGAAATAGCTGTCAGTAAATGTGAAACAGGCTTCATGAGAAGTTCATAAGAAGAGGGTTGTGAAAAAGATAAAGGAAAAAAAAATCAAATCTACCATTCCAAGGATATGAGTCCTGTGCTCTACCAATTGAGCTAAGCAGTGACACTGATATTCGTACTGAAATTACCATTAAAACACTGTGTTAAACTACTCCTTTGTCATCTCGAGATCACGAGAAATTATCCATTATCACGAGAAAACAACATTCGTTATATGAAGATCTCGAGATAATTATCTCGTTATCATGGCAAAATGGAGTAAAACATTTTTTGAATGGATGGGCTGTTAGGGCTTCCGTAGATCTGTACACAAATAGAAGTGTATAAACGATGTATAAATGATGAAAAACAGTTATTCATCAGCGACTGTGTGCAGCTTCCTAAATTCTTTTCAGGTTTGGTACCCCTGTTTCCTGTACAAACAAAAACTAAAACCTGTGGTAACCTTTGCTCATGATGACAGTACAAATAGACTCATCACAGTTGCATTTTCTCTAACGTGGGCTAATTTAAACCTGAGGCTACAGAAATCCTGGCCTAGCTTTAAGGAATATTTCAACATGTGTTTAATGACCAAGTTACCAAAGTAATTTTCAGAAAATCTTGATGATTTTACACTTAAGAAATTGTACAGCTCTAACAAACTATATCTATTGTACTTTTACGTGAGCTTTTGGGCCATAATTTTAACCTTTTGGAACAGCGCTAGGCTAGCTGTTTCCTCTGCTAACCACCTCTCGGCTGTGGCTTCATATATAACGGACGGATATGAGAGTGGAATTGATTTCTGCTCTCTCCAAGAGAAGCAAGTATTTCCCAAAAATATCATGCTACTGTTGTGTTTCACACTTGTATTTGTAAACCTTTGCAGCTTTCCCAGGGTGTAAGGTAGGGTATGAGATTCTGGAGAAATCCAATACCATGAAGCAAGTTATGTAACTAACGTTAGCTCGGTTGCGAGTCAGGAAAGGTGATGAGATATTTGCTCTATTAGACAAAAAGACGTGTATTGGATTAGAATCCCATATCCCACCTTTATGATTGACACTTGATTATTGAAAACACTCACAGCACAATAACTTGATGAAATTTAACGGACAACAAACATTCCACAGCACGTCTTCACACTGATTCACACTTGTGATGTTAACCTTGTAAAATCCCAGGGCTAAATGTGTCGTGTGTGTGTGTGTGTGTCTGCATGACAATCCAAACCAGGGATTCATTCATATACATGGCAGTTAAATACATGTGAAGTACATTTCATTTTGTGTGTAAATGAAACTGTTCAACACAAAGCAGACATGGAGTTGGAGGAGGTTTGGGTTGTGTTCCTGTGGACTGATGACGCAGAGATAAAGAGATTAAAGTGAAGACGACTGTAGCAGCTCACTCCTCACTCTCTGTGGGTGACCGGCTGAGCTCAGGTGTTCAAGCTGCTAGCATGTAATCTACCTGTTTTATTTTTGACGCTGAAACCATTTAAGTAACTGTGAAGATAAATTATTTATTTATATGAAAAGAAGAAGGGGAAAAAAAGAAAGAACTGTTGTATAAGCTAGCACTGTGAGTTATGTAGCGTTAAGCCTGAAAAAGTTAATATTCCAAAGCATTTATCCTTTTGTGGGATGATTTTCCAAAGTGAGATGTTGAAGGTGGAGGCAAACTGGGCAACTGCCTCATGGGAGTGGCCCGCAAAAGCCCCAGGTGTCAGCTAGTTTTTGGGAATTTGCTTTATTTATACAAAAAAAAAAAAAAAGGGTAACATTATACGATATGCTACACAAAATTGTGAGTAGTTGCTAAGGAATGACCAGATAATTAATTAATCATTAATAATCAAGGAGTTGATCATTAGATTATAAATACTTCATATATATATCTGTGTAGACCTGTGTTGGCCTTTAGTGGTTACTGATTAACTCAGAATCAGCCAAAAGGGGAACAAAACTAGTAACGACTCATTAATCGCTCATTATTTAATCATTAGTTACTCCTCAAGCAAAGCAATACATTAAACTGAGTACTTACTAAGTAGTTAGACGCTCATTACTTCATGATTACCTGACCATCACTTGTTCTTTCATGTACCACTTCCCTTGAGGGGGGGGGGGGGGCAAAAAGGTTACGTAATGCTCAGATAATAATAAGAGTTAACTTAGCAACTACTCAATATAATGCTTAAGTGTTACCAAAAAATACAACCATAGATTTTATGCAGCAGGATGATCCAGATGAGGAAAAACCTGCTTGTTAAATGCAAATATATAGTGGACATAGCCTTACCCTCTATTTAAAGAAGATTTAGACCTGCCTGCTGGTTCACATAGGTCTCAATTGGTCTTAGCTGGTTTCCAGTGAAGCCACTGGTTGGCTGTGTGACTACCGGTTTGTGTATTGGGAAATGTGCAAACAATTGTTCTACTTATTAATGTTGTATTTATTGTAAACATTGTATTTATTATTGGGTTGTTTTTTGTTTTTTTTTGGTTGTTGTTATAGACGCGCACCTGACCTGAAGGTGTCATTCTGTGAAACGGGCTTCCAGCTGTAAGACACAGCTTTTTATTGGGTTACTTTACCCACAAACACTGTGTTCAGTTCCCTGATTGCTGTTTGTGTTATATTAACTGTAAATACTGTACATGAAGACATGAAAGGGCCTTTGTGTGACGCTGAAAGAGATGTTGAAAATAGCTCTATTTATAATGAGAGATGTTCAGATGTTATTTTTTTGTTCCCATTGTTTTGATAGGAAGGCATTAAATAGCAATAAACTTGCAGAGTTGACCTCAAATAATAATGTACCCCTATCTTCTGTAGCTTCTTCTTTTTTTGATAACCAAAGCTCTCATCCAAAATCCCTGTCTCTCCTTTCCCATCCTTCCCTTTTACTTTCATCCTTTGCCGTCTGTATCTCCCTCCCACGCTTCCTTCACACTTTTCACTCCTTTTCCTCATCTATTTTTCATCCTGCCCTTATCTCAACTCCTCTCCCGCCGCTCACAAATATTAAAATTCCTCTGGCTTTGCCTCCCGGTCCAATCTGCTAAACTGTTTTTCTTGTTCAGACCTTTTTCTATCATGGGACTGCAGCGGGGGAGCAGGGCTTATCAGCAACTCCTGTGGTGTTGTTTTTTAGCCCTGCGGCGGTGTGATGATTAGACCCGTACAAAGGTTAAATATTTTCTGGTTCTCTTGCCAGTGACTTTTTCACACTGTATCATTCACAAGCAAGTCGTTTGAGGTTTCATGAATGTGGAGCGATGCAGAAACAAAGGCAAGGAGAGTGAAGAGTAGTGCCTCACAACGTGTTCTTGCATCTCTTAAACTAGATTAAGGTTACGCTGTTTTTGCACACAGAGAGATCAGGCAGTATTTATCAAGGTTCTCAAGAGTTGCAGTGCAGATTTGAGATAATTCAAGGACCTGAAATACAAAAATATTTATAAGTCCTTGCAATTTAGTCTTGGAAATCAAAAAGAGTTTTCCTTTCCATGTCCCCAGGGTATGTAAAGTAGATACAGAGAACCTGTTTGGCAGGTTTTAATATTCCCTGCTGTTACACTATTGTGATTGTCTTTTCTTTTATTGCAATGGTTTAACAAAGACGAGAGGATGCACTTCAGAACGTGGATTGTGTGACTTAAAGCAATGTGTACATACTGTTTTATAACTACTGAACGGCATTTGAAGAAATCTAAGAGGTTAATAAACCTGAGATATATTTCTCTACAGAACATCTGTCTCCGTTTGATTCATATGTAAAGCTGACTGTGGATTCTCATTGCTGGAAATAAGTTTCCATTTGGTCATTTCAAATTATTAACTGACGTGAGAAATGTTTACAGGACATGTAGGCGGATCCTTAACGTTTGTTATTAAGAAGAAGCTGGTTATTTTTCATGGTAGGGGCAACAAGGAATTCACACACAGACAAATTAAAAACTGTATTGTGCTAAAGGTGCAACTTACTTTTAAGGATAGGTTCCCGTTGTTTCAAGTCTGTTTTTAAAACAATACTCCCATGCCCGTGTGTACATTCATAGTGGTTGTGAAACGATGCAACTGCAATGGGAGACAAAAGGAGGATTAGCTCAGGGGTCAAAATAAATCTGTGTTTTAGTTCAAGTTCAACTATGTTGAGGCGGTTACTAAACAGTTTGATCAAAACTGACCTTTCACCGCAAAAACTGAGTAAGCAATAGCTCATTAGCTGTGTTGCATCACCTTCTTTGTCACAGTATAACCTAAGATATGGGACAGGAGTTGATAGTACAAATTTATGTCTTTAGTACACTGAATTTATTGTCCCATTAACAAATAAGCTAACCTGCTCAGAGCTCGAAAAAGAAGGCTTTTTCCCTGTTTGGTATCTATAAAATAGCGTACGATCCTGAGAACAAAATGTCAAGGGGCCAGTAAATGGCACAGAAAAGAATAAATAGAAAGAAACTTGGCAAACTGTTGTGGCTGACCGGTGCTAGCGTGGTCTCAAATAGCTAGCACATTAGCTGCTATCTTGCCAGCTAAAGTAGTTCAGTAGTATTTTTAGAAAATTACACATTTAATTTGAGCTGCCAACTCTCACACAATTAACACTTTTGTCACGCTCTCACGCCGCGCGTCAATTTTACAGTGAAAAACAAATTATAACTGATATTTCATACTACAAGACTTTGGAAAATTACCACCTTGACTAACCTGAACTGAAGAAACCTTATAATAGTTTTGGTTTAACTTCAGAATGCATTCTTAGCACATTTCTTACATTTGAGTCAGGAGCTCCATCACTTTGCTCCCAGTGTGGAGAAGGATAATTAAGTGAATAACTTATTAAGTTAATTACATATGCATATGAGTGTTGTTTTGAAGAAGGACTTGAAAAAAGGTGAACCAGTCATTTAGATGGTTCATCTCTTTAGGTTTTGTGCAGTGATTAAATTTGCATTAGCATCTCACAGAGGCCCAGAGTGATGAATGGGTTGTTTTCATGAAATCTAACAAAGATGGGCTCCTCCTTGTTATGTCGTGTTTTGTTGGCTGTGAACACACACTGACTGCGATTCGCTGCTTTTGAGAAGGGGCGGTGCGGTAAAAAACCCCCAAAACATTCAGAATCAAGACCCAAAATGTACGAGTGTCGCCAGCGGCCGCCTGCATGTGTGGAACCAAAATGGCCGCCGCGCGGTTCAGTTGCAGCAAAGAACATCCAACCGTCACTCATGCTTGTGTTCGTTTTGATTGGCTGGCTCAGCCCCCGGGTGGGCGGGGCCGCTGCTGGGATTGAGTCACATGATCCGCGCTAAGCCAGGCTGACCAATTCCAATATGGTGGCCAGCTTGGCAGGTCTACGGTTCTTGTTGATGATATTGTTGTTCTGCGGGATCGGATACGGCGCCTGCAGCCAGGAAGCCCCGCTGGTTCTGGGGCTGCGACTGGAAGATCCGACGGGTCTGGTGTATATGAAGGATCGGATCCTCTCGGCGCCAGAAGGAGCCACGTTCAAGATCCGTCTCTTCGGGGCTGATCTGAATGGAAGCTGGCCGTGGGTGGCGTTCGCGAGGGCAGCTGGCGGAGCCGCCGGGGCGGTCGGGGATGCGCCTGACCCGTGCGCGGAGGAGTCCAACCGTCACGAGTCCGCTTTCCAGGTGACCGGTTCTTTCGAGCCGGATGAGGACTACAGCGGGCTCTTAACGGTGGAGGTCCAGCAGAGGAGCATTTCTGGCGAGCAGACCTACCACCACCTGTGCGTGCTGAGCGGAGGCAAATGGGAATCTGCGGGCCCGGACAGACTGCGGATAAACCCGGACAAGAATCAGCCCGCAGACTACATCCCGCCCTGGGGTCTGGCCGTGCTGATAGTGGTCCTGCTGGTGATCTGCGCGGTGCTGAGGACTGTGAACCTGAGCCTGCTGTGGCTGGACCCCGTGGAGCTCTATGTGCTTCACAGCTGTGGTTCCGAGGAGGAGAAACGGGCCGCCAAGCGCCTGGAGCCAATCAGGAGGAGGGGGAACTTCTTGGTGAGTCTCTGAAAGCTGCCACAGGACAGGAGAGTCAGGTGGTCGTGCTGTTCTGTTTCCTTTAATAGCAAAAATGTGTCTTCTCCATCCCAGACATGCGCCCTGCTGTTCCTGTGTGCTCTGGGACACTCGGTCCTGGGGGTCCTCCTGTACCAGGCGCTGGGCTCCATCGTCTCCGCCGTGTTCACCAGCGGCTTCCTCATCTTCTTCCTGGCCGAGCTGGGCCCTCACATCCTGTGCTCCGGTTACGGGTTCCAGCTGGCCCCTGGTCTGACCTGGCTGGCCCAGGTTTGTATGGTCCTAACATGCCCCCTGTCCTGCCCTATGGGGCTGATCCTGGACCTGGCGCTGAGGAGGGACATCAGCACCTGTGGGATAAGGGAAAGAGCCATGGAGATGATCCGTACCAGCAACAACGACCCTTACAGGTAAATTAAATACACAGTCCTCAGAGAGAACCGCACGTTTGTCGTCCACGCCTCATCCGTCCTCCGTTTGTTTGTGCAGTGAGTTTGTGAAGGAGGAGTTCAGCCGCGGGATGCTGCGCACCAAGACCGTGGAGGACATCCTGACCCCCCTGAAGGACTGCTTCATGCTGCCCAGCTCGGTCATCCTGGACTTCTCCACCATGTCTGAGATCATGCAGAGCGGATACACTCGGGTGCCCATATACGAGGAGGAGAGGTTTGTTGTTGATGAAAACAGTCAGCGCAGGGAACATAAAAGAAAGATTTATAACAAGTATTGATCTAACAAACTGCGGAACAGAGACTCGGATAAGACAAGGAGACGTGGGAGGATTACTTTTTAGATCGATTAGCCCGTGTACTGATTTATTTATATGTTTTAATTTAACCAGGTGAGTCTCATAGCGACTGAAATCTCGACGCGGCATAAAAGAACACGAAGGACAAGTTTCAAACAAATAAAAGACAGCAGTTACACATACATAAACACACACAAGTGGTGGGGACATTTATAAGGGCTCATATTAGTGGTGTGACCAAACACTTAGTCCAGGAGACGTGAGGATGCACAATATTGGAGTCACGAGAACAAGACAACAAGATACTCCAATGCTATTTAAAAGAAATATTTGATTGGGGGGTCTGGGGGTTTTTATTTATATGAAGGGAAACAAAATGCACGTGGCCGGTGACAAATCAGAGTATAAAAATATTATCAAATATAAGTCAGTAGCTTGTTTTTTTAGCCTAAGTTACTGTTTTTGGACAAGGCAGATCTGTTTCTTCTATATTTTCATTGCATTTCATGTTTTCCTGTTGTGTAAGTAAATCTTTCTCATAGTTAATTTAGCAAATGCTTTCTAAAACGTGGTGGGGACATGTCCCCAGTGTCCCCAGTCTAAATGACACATATGCACACAAGCCTCTTAGTTTGCTGGATCAGGCAAAATACAATTTTATAAACAAAGACGCTGACCAAGATTCATGTCTGTAAGAAATAAAGTCAAGTCAGCTTCAGTGACTTCTGATGAAGGTGCAGCAAACTTTGTCTGTTCGGACACGAGGAACCAACGATTCCAGGACGTCCTGAGAACGTAATCCATGATGGCCTTGAGTTCTTGTATCAGCCGATCAGCTGCAGATTGGTATTGCTGTGCCGCTGAGAGCAACATGTGTCACACTCAAATCAGTGGTGGAAAGTAACTAAGTACATCTACTATACTTGTACTTGTATTACCATATTATGCAAATTATTCATTCATTTGAGAGGAAATTATTGTGCTTTTTACTGCCTTTATCTGATCACATTAGTATTTTACACAAACTTTTTAAAATGACACAACATTGGATAAACTGGCGAACCTCATTGAGCTACATTAGAAGAAGACGTACTTTATTAATCTAGCATGTCTGAAATACACAAACATACACGTGGTCAGAGCGAGGAGGCTGCCAACGTAGTGCGGCGCCCCGAGCTGTTAGGGGCTTGCTCAAGGCTGCCTTCGGCAGTGCCCAGGAGGTGAACTGGCACCTCTCCAGCTTCCAGTCCACACTCCGGATATCTGGTCTGATCTGGACTCGAACCGGTTTCCAAGCAAAGTCCTTTAGAATCAGTATCAGAAATTCTTCATTGATCCCTTGAAGGTAAATTCTTTGTTACAATTGCTCACTTTGCACATCAAGGTATTGTTAAGGAATATAAATAATAATAATAATAAGAGAAAGTAGGTAAGTAGAAAAAATAACTAAATATACAAATCTGAATTTAAACTATTTTACAGTAAATATACTGTAAATAAAAGGTAATAATAAAGTAAATATAATGCATTTTACAGTATTAACAGAAAAGTAATGGTAAATAGTTACTTACGGCCTGTGCTACTGCCGCCCCCATTATTAAAAAGGTGCTTGTAAATAACAACAACAACAATGTCCATTCCACTCCCAAAACAATCTGACTCAAATTTTCAGCTAACTGTAGGTTTGCCAGCTAATATTCACAAGTGGGAAGCTGATATTGGTACTTTTCTTTTTTTAAAATGGCTTAAACAATTAATTAATTACTTAATTTGCTGTCAATAACTAATCGTTTAGTCAACTAATTATTTAGGCTCTACAAATCCCCCCCCCCCCCCCCCCCCTTCCCCCAACAACAGCGAGCAGTTAAATGTTTGAACTTCTCATAATAACAAGAACAAACCTGTTATTGTTTAAACCTCCTTGGATTCCCTTGTCTTGGTTGGTGACCCGTAAGAACTCATAACAGAAGTACATGCTGGCGCACACGTGGTGCACAGACCGCTTCACGTTCTCACTGTCAACAAACCTTCACCAGCGGCTTCGGTGTTTGGTTTCCCTACATCGTGGCAGCTCACGTGTCCGACCCTCAACGTATGTTTTTCCAGGGCCAACATCGTGGAGATCCTGTACGTGAAAGACCTGGCTCTGGTGGACCCGGACGACTGCACCCCTATGACGACCATCACCAAGTTCTACAATCACCCGCTGCACTACGTCTTCAACGACACCAAACTGGACGCCATGCTGGAGGAGTTCAAGAAAGGTGGGCTCACGCTCGTCAACGGACAGTAAATCGTACAAAGAAATGCACACAAAATATTATAGCAAAGTAGAGCTGAGCGTCGACTGTTAAATAGATCGCCAACTATTTTGATAATCGATTAATCAGTTTGAGTCATTTTATTAAGAAAGAAAAGTAAAATTTCTCTGATTCCAGCTTCTTAAATGTGAATATTTTCTGGTTTCTGTCCTCCTCCATGAGATTAAACTGAATATCTTTGTGTTGAGGACGTCATGCTGGGCTTTGGGAAATACTGATCGACATTTTTCACCATTTTCTGACATTTTATAAACCAAACAACTGATCAGTTAATCGATAAAATTAGTAGTTGATTATGAAAATAATCGTTAGTTGCAGCCATATAGCTGAGGCTCTTTTGCCATAATGTTTTTGACCAGGGTATCCGCAGGTCCTGAAAAGTTCTAGAAGGTCCTAAAAGTCTTAAATATGTTTTATCAATTATATTTTATTAATTATACAGGTCTAATTAATTAAATTAAATATTTCCTCGGTAGAAAATAGTTCCAGTGAAAACTGCGAGGTCTGCTGATTATCCAAAGTTTGACACTGTGTTCCCTCGATACCCCATGTTGCCATGAGTTAGCTGTGGGCTACAACTTAACCCTTGTTTTTTTAGCCTATATTTGTTTAGAATTTGGCAAATTGGCCCCATCAAAAGAAGCCGAATTATCTGTCAGCAGCTCCTGTTTGCAGCGTATCTATGGATGTACAGCTGACTGTCACTGGATTACTATGTTACTGGAGAAAACTTAAAATCATGATTATTCTAAGGCAAGTTCTGCAGTCATGTTGGGCGACTTTGTTTTATGATTTCAAAGATTTTTGTGCATTTATTAACAATGGACATTGTAAATGATGATATCCTCTGAATGAGTAAGTGCCAGTGAATCTAAAAGTATGTCTGCGTGCTAAGATTTGCCAGAGTTGTGACTTCTAGAAGAGTAATATTTGTGACCCGAGGCAGTATATTTGCCTCGTGTTTCTCCCACCGCACCGCCCCTTTAACTTCAAATTGAAGGGATGACACAGTTTGGAAACCTGACAGAGGAACCAAGACTGTCTTTCTGAGATATTGCTGCTTAATATTTACAAATTAAAACACATTCCTCTGTATATGAGTGGACACAGAAATCTCAAAACCTGACTAAGTAAAACCAAGACAAGCTGCAAATCTACCACCAAAGGATAAGGGAAATTATTATAATTTGTTTTGGTAATTTGGGTGAACTGATCCTTCCCCTTTTATCAGGCAACTCCCACATGGCCATCGTCCAGAAGGTGAACAACGAGGGAGAGGGAGATCCTTTCTACGAGGTGCTGGGATTGGTCACCTTAGAGGATGTCATCGAGGAGATCATCAAGTCAGAGATCCTGGATGAGTCTGACGGCTACTGTAAGTCTCTGTGAACGTTGCGTTATTGCTTTAGCCTCTGACCATCTTTTATTAAAACCTTCCCTCTCCTCCTGTAGTGGACCGGAAAGTGAAGCGTCCCCTCGCGCCGCTGGAGATACCTCTGGAGCCTCGCAGCGTCCACGAGGAGTTTTCTCTTTTCAAGCCACCTGAAGGAGAACCCAAGATCCGAACCTCGCCACAACTCCTGCTGGCAACACACCGCTTCCTGTCCAGAGGTGTGTGACTATCTGTGAATCTTTACCTGAACGTATGTGACCAAACGGAAACGTTGACCTTTGTAACTGATTACATTAGTCACAGTTTAACGCCACACATTTTATGGCTCTGTTGTTTATTATAATTCAGATGAGGAGTTAGGGCTCGGTATGGATGGGTTAATCTCTGACCTTTTGACCCCTGTAGAAGTGGAGCACTTCAGCCCCGGACGTGTGTCCGAGAAGGTCTTGTTCCACCTGCTCCGTCACCCCAGTGTCAACCAGGAAGTGCACTTTGACCCAAACAACCGGCTGAGCGCGGGGCACTATCTCTACACACGAAACCACCCGGTGGACTATTTCATCCTGCTGCTGCAGGTATGCGCTCATGTTCAGACGCGTCTGCTTCGGCAAGACAAACAATTTCTCTCCCAACTTTTCAGGTAAGGGGAGAAACAGACTGCTGTGAGACTTTTAACAAAATCCAGCAGAAAGAAATTTAAAGGTGTAAAATGTGATATTTAAAAAGTAACGTGATCAAGTTTCCAGATTTTTAACATTTTCATCTTTAAAGTAAACACGGTTCTGTAAATCTTTATATAATGTATGTGTGTGTTCACACTGAAAGAAAAGACGCTGAAGTCTCAGATTTAAAGCAGAAGTTAATTTCATTCGGCCTCTCCGTCCCTGTAGGTTAACCCTGCAGGTTCAACATCTGCACGTTTTAAGAAAATCATTTAAAGGAACGGCTCGACATTTTGGGAAATAATTCTTATTCACTTTCTTGCGCAGAGTTAGATGAGAAGATAAATGGTTCAAAAGGTAACAGTAAGGACAATAAGGACTTTTTGTACGTGGTTTGGCTGTTCATCCACACGGTTCACTGTTCATCAGGTCTCCAAAACCAAACATTTTTATAAAAACTCCTGCCAGGGTGATGATTTTAAGACACTCGGGTTGCAGTGTTGTCGTGTAGACAGTGAAACCAGAATTTTCTGCTTTTTAACGTGAGAGTGTGCACAGTTATCTGCTGTGTATGTGCACCACTGCCTGCTTTGTTTATGATTTTATTAGGCTCTGATTGGCCAACTTGGCTTTACAGTTAGGGTCAAATCGCCGCCTGGTGGTTTGGCGTGGGCTTGACAGCGCTTGATTGCCTGTTTTTGCGTTCAACCTGAGCTACTAATGGGGTGAACTTGTCCTTTTAAGAGTCTGATCGCAAAGTTAACACAAAAAATAACATAAATCTCAGTAAAACTTTATCACATGAAAGGTCAGCGTGTTGTTATAATAGCAGACTTCTATGTGTTTCAAAAGGAGGGAACAAATCGCACGAATCAGCTATAAATATAACTTGTGTTTTTATGAATCTTATTTATTTTCATGATAACAAATAACTGCAGTGTGTGGAGAAAAATGTGGGCAAAACACATTCTCAAGAAAAGAAATACATGTTTGTGTTCATAGTTTCCAAAATTCAAGAAGCACAAAGCGAGAGTTTGGCCTGACGGTCCACATGCTTCCTGTTTGTTTGTTGTCAGGGTCGTGTGGAGGTGGAGATCGGTAAAGAGGGGCTGAAGTTTGAGAATGGGGCTTTCACATACTACGGCGTGTCTGCTCTAACGCTGCCATCTTCAGGTGAGATCACGAACAGCAGGAAGAAGCGGTCCTCAACTTTCAAACACATTTTGCATTGAGATCTACAGCTGCCTCAGCCGGCTTGTGTGTTTGTGTTATTGTGTGACTTTTGTGGGGGGGTTTTTTTTTTTTGATATATTGTGTGAATTTGGTGTTTTCAAAGTCACACAACAACACAAATAAACTTGCCGATCGAGGCAGCGGTAGACCAGAGAGGTAAAATGACAGTTTTTGTCAGTGGAGTCTGGTGGCTTTGATGAGAACAATACAACAACTGTTTGTGGTAAACCAAAAAAGGATCTTACTACTTCGATGGGAAGGATTACGTTGCAGCCCTGTTTCCCTGCTGCTGACTGCAACGCTCAGTACTGGACCACTTAAAAATGTGTCCCAATCAGTCACATAGACAAAAAAAAAAAGAGGTTGAACTTCCCCTTACTTTGTTGTGCAGTCATAACAGGAAGCATACAGTTGTTTAAAATGAATGATGAAGCAGAATTCCTCTGTGTTTACATAACTCAGGTTTTTATGAGTCACCACGTGGCTATAAAAAGAAGACGTCTGCAGATATTGTGCTGACTGCTCTTGTGCTGTGTGTGTGATTACAGTGCACCAGTCTCCAGTGTCGACCCAGCGTCACTCTCCCAGGGATCCCTTTGACTCAGCAGAAGCTACAAGCTCGTCCAGCTATTGTCCCGACTACACCGTCCGAGCGCTCACAGACCTGCAGCTCATTCGGGTGTGTGTGTGTGTGTGTGTGTGTGTGTGTGTGTGTGTGTGTTTGTGTGTGTGATCTTGGGACTGCTTCCGACCAAAGCCCGGCACATGAACGCATTATTTGAACTGGATATCAGACTCCAAGACGTTACACTAGGCTGATGCACATGAGAATATATTTTATACGCGTCACTCTGTAAGCAACAGGTACCGCGGAGGGCAAATATACCGCTTTGGTGACTAAAGACATCCCGTGCTCTGATGATTACAAATCTCTTCAACTATTTTATCTCTTCTTCTTTATTTGCAAAAGAGCAATGGACAACATATAACTATATATATATATATATTATATCTTCTTGCTTAACCAGAAACAGTCGCTACATCGCTCTCGTCAAAGCCACCAGACTCCCTTGACAAAAAAAACATAATTTCACTTTGCAGAGCACGGGAGTTGCAGTTCTACCGCAGCGGTAGAGGTAAAATTACTACTTTTTTCAAGGGAGTCTGGTGGCTTTGACGAGAGCGATAACTGTTTCTGGTTGGTCCTAAAGTTAGTTAGAATTTGTTCTGTAATGCCAAATTGGGAGAAATCTTATCCTCTTCCTATCTTAACTTAAGACTTGTTGTCACTTGTGTTTTTGCAGGTGACACGTCTCCAGTATTTGAACGCGCTCATGGCGTCGCGGGTCGGCCAGAGTCCAGATCCTCCTGAGATTAAGATCCTGCCCAACAGTCAGACCAAGCTGCTCAACGACAGGAACACCACACAAGGTAGCTTTGCTGTAAATCGCTGTCTGACCTCCGGGGCCCGCTGCCCCGTGGATCCTCAACGCTAACATTTATTGAAACTCTTCTGAACACGGCTTTAAAATACGTCTTTGTAGTATTGCTTATCTGTTTGACTGCAGCTGAACTAAAATAATCTTCTCTTTCTTTTCCCTCCTTGCGTGCCTCCGTGTCTCCTCTCTCCTCTGCCCGTCCAGAGTTCCCTGTAAACTTTTCATTCTTTGACACCATTGAAAACTACTGTTAGTATTTATTTGCATGAGGTAAATGAAATGCAGCCTGTTCATACAGCACACACACACACACACACACACACACACACCAAGGAGAAGACAGATGTGTGTGTGTGTTTGTTTGTGAGGTTTCGTAACCTCTGTTCCTCCATCCATCATTCATTCTTGCATTCCTTGTTTCTGCTTTTCTCTGAAAACCATCTCACCTCTCTCTGTTCGGGTAGGTAGACTCCCACAGATCTGCTCCGTCTCTAACACGCCTGATCTAATTCACCCTGTCCCTTCCCCTCGAGCATATTAAAATACAGTGACGAGACGGCGCAAAAGGGACGAGAAACAGCCTCAATTAGCCGGCTTGTTAAACCAGTCTGGTATCTAGAACACGACAATTTCTCACGTGGTGTTTCAACGCATACTTTGCTTTTTGCGTGTCATTTCACGCCATGTAGCCTGACTTATATTGTGCCACTTCACGCCAACTGGATGTAAACACAAATGTCAGAGTAAGGAGGTGGATGGAGGGCGAAGACTTCAGAAACGACATTGATTTTTGTTTGTAGTTAAGTTACGTAGGTTGTGTAAGTTACGAAAGTTAAGTGACGCAGTTACCTTTAAATAGCCCGGGCTTTTATTTGCTAAAATCACTGAATTGACCCTTCCTATATTTGGGACAGGCCTTTAATTCCTTTCACACAAAACTGAAATAGGCTTCTATGAAACAGTTTATTTATTTAAAATGTTATATTGTATAAAAATGATCAAATAATGTAAAATACAGTAATTAGTTTGATCTGGCTCCGACAGACTGCTTCTGTGCTTTTATTTTGTGGGCACCAATGTAAGGAAAACAACAACAGGGTGCAGGATGAGAGAAGTGTGGCAGAAGTTAGCAGACAGAGAGCGACGGACTTCACATGTCAGGATTCACAACTTGGATTAATTTTTATTAAAAGCTGTTTTGATTCTTTTGATTGGTGAACTCTTACAGACTAAAGGATTATAAATAATGAAGAAACGGACACATAACGAACTTAACGAGCGCTTCACAGGTAACGGGAGTCGGCACTTTTTCCTTTTCATATCTTGTAGCCAGGCAGGTTAAACTGGTAAATCTTTAAGAATTAGACTTTAGGGCTCGTTGTTTCCGTTAAATGAACTGAACTGTTGAATTGTGGAGAATCTAACCCATCCAACGATGTGCAGCATGTTCATACTGACATATTGATCACACGTTTAAACATTAATATTTGTATTAACGATCTAGGCAGCTTAGAAGCAGCTAAACCCCACGGGGTTTAAGAGGTTTTATACATCCAAAGAAGTAATATAAAAAACAGACCAGGCGTTTAATGGAGACCTGCGTTTATTTCTCAAAATGTGTTCCAGGCCAGGACTATTTGGGCCATTAATTGAAGCTTTACGGTATTTTAACCCAAAGGACTCTAGTTTTCCATTTGTGCCGAAATCTATGTCAGTGAGTGTTTGCTGGTCGACCCTGCAGCTGCAGATATGGTAACCTCCTTTGTGGTGCGGTGTAGTGTGGGGACAAAACAGTGTGAAAATGACACGTGGAAAGCTTAAAATGTGTGACATGACCAGGCAGATTTCCTTTAAAGGGTCTTGCTATGCGCCACCCCATGATATGACGTTGGTTTAACAACACAGATGTTTCCTTACTGGAAGTCCAGAGAGCCAAATTCGTGTCAAAGTCACTTCCTGTCTAGCCTCTGCTCCACTAGCTTCTCTCACCGGTGTTCCTGGAGTTCACTTTCTATATTCTCAGATTAATCTGCTGCTCTACAGCAACACATTAAAACCTTTTGTGAAGTTAAACAACAATTACTTTGTGAGCACAGAAAAAAAACTACAGCTTTAACAGCACGGGTACTTCTGTCGTCGTAACCTGGCTCTCTGCTGGTTAAAAACTTCTGCAGCGTTCAGTCGTCCGACACGCGACTCGCTCGTGAACTCGCCTCTTCTGTCAGGCGGACGTCTTGTCACTGTGTGTGGCTGCAGCTCAGTGTGTTTCTCCACCGGTGTTTTTGTGGGCGTGCCACGCTAGCCGCTAGGCGAGCAATATGCCGCGTGTTACAAAGTGACGCAGAAACAGTTGAGCCTTTGGGCTTTTTCACTTTGCAAACCTATTACATACATACATATATATAAAACACTCTAAAGGAGAGGGGAAAAAGCCAAAAAGCAGAATATGACCTCTCTATAACACGGCGCCCCCCGTCCCAACATGCAACACTGCGTGAGGTACCTTCACATTCCCTATAAAGAGCGATATTAGACGTATGAAGCGAGTCATAAACTACTGCTGAGAACGGCTCTGGATCTTTGAAATGGGGTTTTGAATGAACTCTTTGTGCTTGTGGTGGAAGTTCTGGTTTCTCTTCGCAACAAGAACGACTTCTTCTTCTGTTCCTTAAACTCCGGCGCTTCTTCGTCTCCTTTGTGTCGTCTTTCCTTGTCAGCATGTCAGCCGTTGTGTCCTCCCCTCCCGTCTATATTCCCTCCCCTCCGTCGCTTTAACGCCCTCTGTGTGTGGTTTGCCTCGGCGTGATGTCATCACCCCTCACTCACGCCCCGCTCTCCTCTCATTGGTCGGGTTCCACAGGTGGCAGTAGAACGCAGGAGACCTCCACAGAAGACGAGTCTCATGGGTAACGCGGTTCTGTCTGCCCCGCTGTTAAAGACCTCCTTCAACCACGTAGAGATTTTAGTTTGTTGTTTGTTTTTTACTGATGAATCATCTATGGCTGGAACGTAGTTATTGGACAAGACTGGAGTGATTTTTATCTGAAGATTCGCCGCTCACACTTCTCATCTCCATCCCGATTCATGTATGTGCTTTTTATTGCATTTATTATCTTATGTTTTTTTTATACACTATAGACTATATGGGTGTATATATAATATATAAATACATTTTATTTTAATTTGGCGGTGCCTTCCTTCCAGGTTTAGCCTTTCGTACCAAGCGCTGCATTGCCATTCCTCACTTTTGCCTGTCTGGGTGCCAAAGCTTACGTTTGTGTGTGTGTGTGTGTGTGTGTGTGTGTGTGTGTACTGAAGAATCCGTCCGTTTGAGACACTAAAAACACACAAGTTGGCTAAAAGCAGATTTGCACATTAAATGTGTGCCCTGTTGATAGTATGAAGCCGTTAAGGTACGTCCGGATTTTAAACCCACACACAACACTGCAGCCAGACGTAGAGGTGCGTTTGCTCGCGTGTGTGTAACCAAAAAAATGATTTCATCTTTGAGCTTTCAATGGCTGATGGTTAGTTTATACTTTAAATCTTCAAGTTAAAAGAAGTGTTGCGTAAAGGTCTTCCAGAGTGGCCCAGGACGTGATGCAAAGTTCAAAAATTAAAAGCATTAAACTGTCCGTGCTAACAGAGAGTGAGTATTTTGATAATTAATTAATCTTTTAGTCATTTTTCATGCAGAAAAACTTTGTCTTGCGTGATAATAAACTGAATATCTTTGGGTTTTGGACTGTCTGTCAGGCAAAACAAGATATTTGAAGATGTCATCTTGGGCTTTAAGACAAATGTGATTGGAAATTTTAATAGATCAAATGATTAACAGAGAAAATAATCTCCAGACTAATGAAAATAATTTTCCGTCGCAGCCCTAGTTGTATTTTAAAGGCCAATTTATACTTCTGCGCCGATTCTACGCCGTAGCCTGGCGCGCATCTCCCCCAAAATGCCGCCATTGTAGCAGCCCAAAACACCAACGCACAAGTGTAAATGCTCACGACGGCGTAGACTTGTCGCAGAAGTATAAATTGGCCTTATCGTGTTTCAGGTTGTGTATTTTTTGCCAAACAGTATCTCAGAATGAGCTTCATTGAAGTGTGTAGTTTGACTCTGCAGCGAAACCGACCTTCAGGCGAGAGGCAGGACTGACGGAGATGATTGGTCAGCAGGGCTGTGTATGAAACCTCAGTGCTGTTGTTTTTGGTGCCAACTCATCAGATGGCATCAATCTGGTCAGATTCATAATTTAGTGTTTTTTTTATATGAGATAATCCCTGATTGTTTCAGTTATTTTAAGGATTTTAGACTGTATTTATTCGGGCGATGTTCTTTTTTTAGACTATATTTAGTTCTGTATTTTGATGGTTAGATGAAACAAGCATTTCTGACATTTTTATTGCCACAGCTATTTATCAAATATCAAATAACCAGCAGATTAATTGATAATAAAATAATTGTTTGTTGCACATGTTTATATGTCTCAAAGTATTAAAAGATATTTAAAAACCTTTTTCGATACCAAAACTCAGATAGCAGCACTACACTAACCCAGTCCTACTGTATAGTCTAATTACTGTAATTGATCACCAGGAAATCTAACGATGATTTTGATCATCAATCGATCCTAAAAGTCATTTTTCAAGCGAAAATGCCAAAACATGTGCAGGTTCCAGCTACTTTAGATCATCGTAATCTGAATACATCTTTGGGTCTTGGATTGTTTGTCACAGACGTCACTTTGGGCTTTAAGAAATAGTGATTATTGTTTTGGTATTTTGTCACTATATTCTTACCTTTTTATAGACAGAATAGCAAATCAGAAGAAAAAAAAATGAGGGAGAGTATTAGTTAATAAAGTTCCTTGCAGCTCCATGTTCCTATCCTGGGATAGATTAAGGATAAAGCTGGAGATATTCTACAACGTTGTTAATAAATCCTATAAAAACAAAACAAAACCAACAACGTACTCTGTCAGTGACTCCTGCTGAAGACGTAAATATTTAACACCTCACAAATACATTTTACAATTGTGCATTTGTTAGGGACTATTTTCAGCGGCGAGCTCTGCGGCGTTCAGTGAAGCTTTTTAGGATTTGTTGACATTGAGAAAAATCTAGAATATCACCAGACTTTTCCTTAAATGTAAACGTGGCGGTGCTTCTAAAAAGACGTTGATTGTGTGACGAGTCGTGTCGACCCAGGTTGATGCGCTTTGATATTTGAGGGGAGCCCCAAGACAAACACATTAAGCAAGGCATCGGAGAATCTGTGGTCCAGCAGAGGGCGCTATTATTCTGAAGCCTGCACTTCATCTCATGTAATTTAAACCCTGGCACAGGAATTCAGATTAACAGTAAATCAGCATGTGGTCAGATTCAGCTGTAAACATCCCTTTATTCGTCCAAGGAGATTCATGTTTCCTACAAATCTTAAAGCACCTTGTTTGTTATCCTGTCTGATATATTTGAGTCCTGTTCACATTCCAGTACATGTTCACATCTGTCTGTTTTTATCTGTCTATGAATGTGTGTGTTTGTGTGTGTGAGACATACAGTATTTCACTAATACATGTCAGCAAGCAAGCATCCAGCCTTCCTCTTAACTCCCATATGTGTATGTTGATACCATAACATGCATTTTAAGCATCCGTCAGTCATTCTTGCATGTGTGTAAACGTGTGAAATATGTCAGAAATTATCTAAACTACCCCCCTTGTGCTCCCTGTGTTTGTACATTAATATATTATAATGATTAGGAGGAAAAGGGCGAGGCAGAATCTCTCCACAACAAAACAGTGGTCAGGTTTGGATTCTCCAAGTTTTATTTTAATGTAATACTCACGCGCCCAAATGTACGTTGAGAAAGTCGCTGTGATCATTCCTCCTATGCATACTGGTTAGAAAGCGACTCCTTTTGTAGTGCGACTACAAAAAAGTTTAAAATGTTGAGGACAAACGGAAACGGGGGATAACGGTGGAGGCTATCGGACAGCCTTTCCTGCATTCACTACGTTGCACTTTAGTGGTTCACACATAAATAGGAAAAGGAGCTTTAAAGAGCTGACTGAAGTGGGTGTGAATGTTGGATGGCGGGTTTCAGATAGTTACAGAACTGTGAAGAAGGCAAGAAGGTGGTAGAGGAAGTTATCCGACCCCTAACCATGACCTAATCTGACCCCGTCCATAACCTTATCTAAACCCTAACCATGACCTAATCCAAGCTCTAACCATTAACTCATCTAAACCATAACCTAAGCTCTACCCGTAACCTTCAGTGTAGTCGCAGCACAGGGGGATTTCCTCCAAACAGTTACACTCTCTCAGCATATATACACAAGGGTATGTGAGTACTGCATTAAAGTAAAGAAATCCGAGCTGAACATTGACGCAGCAGCAGCGAGGTTGCGTGGGAGTCGGCTCTGCGCCAGCTGCGTTCGCACATTAGCACCGTTTCTGTCTCTTTGCATTTGGATTCCACTTGTGTGTTTGATTTTGCCATATTCCAGGAGACGTTTTTGATTCTGAGTAAATATTTTTCAGCTGTTTACTTTTTACTTTGAAACTTCATTTCTTTGGTATCGGAAGACTGAATGTAAAAAGATAATCATTACTTTGTGCTACTTATACTGATTGAGATAGATGCTGGTTGGGGGTGATGTGGAGAACTGTGTATTAATATATGACTGCTTAGAGTATAATTCCAGGATGTAGTTTTTTAGGTAATTGGTCTCAGTTTTCAGGTACAGCAACACTGTTACTACAAGAGTTATTGAGGACTAAACTGTTAAGTCAATTACTCTTTCTGTCCAGGTTACATTTGTATAGAAACTCTCAATTTTGTTATTATTATTATTATTATTATTATTTTAGGGTATGCTGCCGGTTTTGGGTGTATTGAGACTCCATTGCATTTAACACTTTCAATAATCAAGTTTCTTAGGAAATAAACTCAATCCTATTCAAAATGTGTTATTTTTGTTTGCCTTTTCTGTTCCCACACAGACACACACCTTTTATTTAGACATGTGGCGTCCCACAGCAGAGCGCCCCAGACTTAGGAGGCAGCTGCAACTACGTCTAACTGCAACTCTAACTCTAATCGTCTAAAAAGAGATGCCGTAACCACAAAAACCATCAAAAGGGTCAAAACACAATAAAGCCAAACAGCTTATTTCCATTGTGGTCGTCAGCTTCCCCCTCAGACGTTATTCCCCACTGTTTGTCGTCATGTCGTTTTGCCACTCGTCGGTACGAGCCCTATGGCGTCAACCTTCTGAAGCCGTGCTAAAGATATTGAGCTTGACTGAGGCTACATCCACACTACTACATTTTAGTTTTTAAACGCAGACCTTTTGCTACGTGTACACCTCCCGTCCAAATTTAAAACGGCGAATCTGAAGACCTCAAACGGAGGAGTTTGGAAATGTGGCCGACCCCGTTTTTGTTGGATTTGGACTTGGATTAGTAAGAACAACATACAGATGGAACACAGGGCTGATGGTTGCTGATAATGGGCACCTGCACGCCTCTGTAGATATTCCATTACAAATCAACCGTTTGCAGCAACAACAAGTCATTTACAACATTAAAAGTGTCTACTCTGTATTTCTGATCAATTTTATGTTATTTTAATGGCCAAAAAATGTACTTTTCATTCAAAAAACAAGGACATTCATTGTCCAAGCTTTTGACTGGCAGTGAAACACATTTGCACTCGGTTGTCAGTTTATTACGTACACCGAGCTTAAACTAATGCAATCTAATACTATAAATAAGGATAGACAACATTTTTAGTAGGGACGTAACTTACGAATGTTCAGCACCCGAAATTAATTGGCTGAAAATAGCAAAAAAAAACACTTTCAGTGTTCGGCCTAATAAGTAAAAAGACTGAATAATTTTCATCAAACATGTCGCCAGTGTGGAAGCATTTCAAAGCGTCCGAGAAAGACGCAAAAATGCCCGTTTGCAGACTCTGTTCTGCTGAATTGTCTCCGAGCACATCCACTCCATCTGGCTGACTTCTTAGTAAAGGTAACAAACAGACTGACCCGTTTATGAGAAGGCGATTAAGCTAGCCGCACCTAAATTTGTAGTGCACACGTATTCTAGCCTTTATGGTAAATCCACTGAAACGGACCAGAGCGAGCTGACAGGCAGGTTAGAGACTTTATCCTGTCAGTTTGTCTCTTTAGTATGAGAGTCCTGCCTGAAGAGAGGCTGTGAAGTCTTCATGTTACGCCGGACGAGAACCACATACAACATTATTCATCAAGTTGGGTCGGACTGGATGAATTTAGCGCGAGGAGGATACGCATGTGACAACGTCCGGTTTTCAAAATAAGGCATCTATACAGGACGGAAATAAGATTAATTGGATTATATTCACAGAAAGTATAAAACATATTACATGTGTCCATTAAAAGTAAACGGACACATGTAATTTACTTTACCGGACCCTCTCGGACCCCGGACCCCCCCCACTATAGTCTCTCCAAATCCTGTGGGAAACACTGAGTACAAAGCACTTTTTGACTATTTAAAACAAATGCGAAAAACCTTGTTCTGTATTTGGGAAATCTTTTCATTATATTCGGCTTCGATCAAGAATTTTCATTTCGGTGCGTCCCTAATTTTTAGAGTCACCTCTTTAGCTGCTAAATGCTCCACTGTGTTCACAAGCTCATCTCTTACTGGGTCAGTCTGCTGCTTGCAGTTGAGCAGGTTGAGTGAATCACAACATGAAAAGCTGCAGCCGGACTGGGAAGCTGAGAAGCCGCAGATTTAGCTGGTAATTCACTTCTCGCTACGAACGACACTTGAAATATTGATTTCAGCCGCTTTAATTTTGTGTTAACAAGGCACATACCAAAACCACAGTATCACATCAGCACGACTGCACAATACAGGAACAAAACAACCCAGCTTGAACTTTTGAAAGCCTCTGAGGTTTTGGTGCTTAGTTCCCCTTAAGCATTTACACTTTACTAACCAGGACACTTTCAATTTATATCATCAGAAGACAAAAGCAACTTGGTCATATTTATTTGACTTATATTTATTTGATTAACTGATGTTTAATATTTCAATCAAGAATGCACAAACCAGACAATTCAGTCCAGACGCACTCTGCGTTTATAGGCCTACTAAAAGGTTTCAGAGTGGCGGTCAGGGGACTTCTGATCTCACAGAACTTGCATGATCAAACGTGACTTCAGACAGAAACAAACATGGAGGCAGACTGTCGTGGTCTGCTGTTTGCACCTAGTGATGTTACATCTGACACAGAAGCTACGATCCTTGCTTCAAACTCCTTAAGTCCTTTCACCGAACCACTGCCTTGTAGCTTGTATCGTTACGTCACTAGTGACGTTAAAATGACGTGTTAAGCAAACACAGTGGTTCACTCAGGTAGAGAAACACATGGCTGCTTTGACAGGTTTGACAGCATAACTGCACACCAGCCACTGATGTTTAGAGATTTAGTAATTAAGGACTGAACGCACGCTAAACTTAGATACAACAATACGAATTTTATTACTTAAGTACATTTACTATGGAATACTTCTATACCTTCACTTGAGTAGAATTTTGATGACTGATAGTAAACATAGTATTTTTACTTTTTTGAGGCAAAGTTAAAGTGTACAATATTTAAAACCAATCACTTAACATTCTTGCAATATCATGGTGAAATGACAGAGCTGTTGCTCTTTGAGTAGGAAGACTGGGGTTTAAATTTGCCATTAATGAGACCGAGATCTCGCCATCAAGTCTCAATTATGATTCCTGCTGCTAATTGCTTTGTCTCACCCATTTTTTAGGACAAAATATGAGAAACAGGTTTTAACTACAACACTAAAATTAAGGCTGAGCAATTTTTTTTTCTTTCTCCTGAGCTGTAAAAGCGCAACCAATGAATGCAATAAATTTTCCTCTGGGTTTGGTATTAAAGAGGTGCTATTATGCTCATTTTCAGGTTCAAAATCCTATTTAGGGGTTGTACCACAACGGTCTAATTTCCAAAAAACACCTATTTTTTTGTTTTCATACTGCACATTGCTGCAGCTCCTCTTTTCATCCTGTGTTGAAGGCTTCATTTTAGCTGTGGAGTGATACATCTCGTCTCTAAATGATCTTTGTTGGGAGTTGCACATTTACAGTTCAGAGTACTGAACCATTTTCGACAAAGCAATAATGCTTCAGAAGCTTTATTCACTAGTTGCGCTTGTGTTTGCAAACAGAGAATCAAACTGTGGATGAACTCGAGGCTGAGAAGAGAGAATCAACAGGTTTATACATTTTAGAACATGAGCAGATACACAACACGCTGGTGACACTTCCCGGTCAGCTCGATCTCATTGGCTGTTTTCGGGATTCTGATCGAGGTCTCCCCGATTTCAAATCGTGCGATTTGAACCTTCGATCCGCTCTGCAAGCTTAAGATTATGTCTGTAAACCCCTCACACTACAGATCATTTGGGCCAATTATCGGTTTCGATCAGCCTTGAATCTCTTCTGCAATTCTTGAATTGGACCCTCTGGTGTGCAGCCCGTATAAATCAGACATGTGACACTCCATCTAACCGCTATGGTACCATTTGGTAACAACTGTCATAATCAAACATGCTGTGAAATCTCGTAATCATCGAGATAGTAAGTCATATTTACAAGATAAGGTCTGAATGCAGTGTGCTTCTGTGTGTTTATATCAATACTGCTGCAGTGCGAGAGGCAGAAGCCGGAAACATTTTTCCATTATTTAACTTATGCAATCACTTACTGTAATTAAGGTGACTTGTCTTTTCTATTATAGTTCTATTATGTCGTTGCACATAATTTTGACAATAAATGCACTTTTCATCGATTTGGATTTCCAATTGTTTGTTTTCCTTTTTCACATAAATATATGTATATATTTTTAATCAAATAAAAATGTCCCCAATTTGTATTCGATCGTATTTAGAGAAATCGCTGGAGACATTTTTCCTCGTTGCTGTAATGAGACTGAGAACAAACCTTATCAGCCTCTATCACAAGGACAGAAGAGACAGACCGTGACGTCTCTGGAAAATCAGTGAATGGATATTTCCACTGACCGCTTGCACTATGTGAGGAGTAAAGATCGCTTGTGTGTCTTTGAGAGACGTATAAATTTACATCGTTTTAAACATCTGGTTAGAATCGTTTTATAATCCGCCCTGAATGTTTCACACTGTGGGCGTGTCTGTTCTGCTTTGTTCATTTAGTTCTCAGTCAGTCCTGTTTCTGTGGATTTTGGATCACCTGTTTATTTGGACTCTTGTTATTTTGGATTCAGCCACTCGGTTGTAAGTGTGCTCGCTTTTGTTTGCTGGAATTAAACCTTCTTTGAACTGCACTCGCTTGCTCTGTGTCCTGCATTTGGGTCCTCCAACTTGCTCACCCCCTCACAACACTGACATGGTGTAAATATCAACTTGGCCATCTCATCTCTCCTCCCTGATAACAGTTAATAATAAATGACTTACACCTGCTCAGGGGAGGTGTTGAATTTAAAGTGGTCATATTATGCAGGATCATCATTTAATTTAGGGGTTGTACCAGAACAGGTTTACATGCTTTCATTTAAAAAAAACCCCATTATTTTTGTCGTACTGCGCATTGCTGCAGCTCCTCTTTTTACCCTGTGTGCTAAATGCTCTGTTTTACTTACGGAGTGAAGCATCTCACTTCTATTAGATCTTTGATGAGAGTTGCACATGCGAATTTATGGACTACTAGCCAATCAGAAGCAGAGTAGGGCGGGTCGTGAGAAGCCACGGTTCAGCTGTACATGTTCCTGAACCAGCTGATCTTTCAAAGAAAAAAGATGGCAACAAACAAACGCACGTGTACATTTTCAGCTGAGGACTTCAACTCAACAATCAATCACGATTTCAGTTAAATGCTAAAGTTGCTGTTACTGTTACCTTGTCTGTGGTCCGCTG